GTTATGCAATCAGCTTTTCTTTAGTGTATATCCAAAGAAAAAATAAAAGTAAAACTTATTTCATAAATTTATTTTTAATTAATATATAATTATAAATTTTGCGATCAATTTTCTTATCAAAGGTGTCTGTAAAAAAGTGTTGCAGTATCTTTTTGTCGTTTATGCAATTAAAAACAAAGCTTTTTGCAAATTATCCTGGTAAAAAAATTGCAGCGTCAAACGCTCGTTGTTATTAAAAAAATTAAGCGCGCTTCTATTTTTTAATTCCGTCTTGTCATGAGTCATGAAGAACCAAAATTAGTACGATGCGATTGCGTCACAGCTCGAGTTAGCGTGATGAATTATTACTAAATTACTTCAGAGGTAAGATGAATGAGATATCATGCGAGTGCACTCATAATTTATTTTGAGAAGAGTGTGGCCTCGCGTGTGTGACATTTTCCTTCGGTTTTTGAACTTTGAAAGTTTCTCGATCTCTATTATGTTTGCGCGTTGGCCATCTCCACTGCGACAACAGTGATAAAAATTACTTCAAAGTGAAATTAAAGAAAGTCTTGCGGCGGCGAAGATGTTACAGGAATGATGAATTATGAAGGCATTATATTGAGAGGACAGTGAAGTGATTTCTTTTCACATGAATGAGCTTTTCGTTCATTCAGCAGCTCTTTCACGCAATCGGACCGCATGCAGTGACATAATCCCCGATCCGCCGACAACAATTCAATTATTGATTGAATTAAACGTAGACATATCAATTTCACTTATCAGTCATATTAATTTTATCGGCGTTGACATTGGGTTGCTGGAATTATGAAAAAAAAGTTGGTATAGTAAAATTGGCGTGCAATTAAGAAATAAATTATTAGCAATGAAAATTATTTTTAAACTTTTTCACGTTTAACCACTCTTCCCCCGAGGATAGCTTCAGAAAGACTCATTTAGAGGAACGCTACACACCTCTACCTGTCTTGTTAACACATAGTTAAAGCAAAATGTGTCCGCCTACCAGTCACTCAAACGCACCAACATAATAGATAATAATTGCTTTTTTCAATTACTCTGTTTTTTATTTAAAATTATAAATCATTTAAGTAAAAGAAAATTAAAGAAGGAAGGAAATCAATTTAAATTATGTATTACCCCTGTAAATTCTAATTATTTTCTTGACATTCTCTTTCTTTGGGAGACGCATTTTTACATCTGATCAATTTGCATCTGTTTATTTGATTAGCGCGCGTGACAACCATAAAATTTCAGCTCGCGTAATCCTTTCGATTTATCAAAAAATTCCTCCCATGCGTTTACTATTGCTATCTGTCTACTAATTTGTTCTTCGTGTTCAGAATTTATTATCTCCGCGGAAATTTCGAAATATTTCGCAGGCTGGACAGACTAGCAAAAAAATAAACGATCAATTTGTCCTCAACTTTCGACCATGGCCTAACATGGGACATTCGCGCATCATATATCGTAGCGCCTGCTGACATTTCTGTCACTGCCGTGTGATTGGGAAATCCTCCAGCCGTCGGCTAGATGAATTATTTCCGAGCCCACGCATCTCACTGTTGGTTTGTACGCTTGCTGCAGGCGGATTTTCATATTCTTCATTCACGCCAGCCCTCAAATGTCAAGCATGTGAAGAAATTTCCACACGCAAAATTTTGCTAATTGTTCTCGCATCAGCTTAGTAATGGCTTTATTGCTTGCCGGCGAAATCGCGTTTTGTTTGTTGTTTTGCAAAGCTTTATAAATTGCGCCTATTCATCAATTTTTCAAACCGACTTTGTATCAAAATAAAAAATTAAATAAAATTTCCAAAATTTTCAATATTTAAAAAAATCAAACGGTCCAGACTCCAGACTGAAGTTATATTGACCACTAAAATTTTTTCAGAATTTCCAATTATATACATTTTTATTGACCTTTAGCCTAATAATAAAAATTCTTAACTGAATATTTTTACTAGACCTCACTTACTGCGTAGCCTTTGATTTTCAAAGAGATTGTTAATTTTTACTTTTGAAATTAAAAACTATATTTGGCAATCCTGCTAGCATCAAGTAAAAGTGATCTTTTCTTTGGAGAAACGATACCCACAGATATGGCTACACACAAAAACATATAGCAAGTATGCCGGTTGGATGACTCAATAATGCAATAGTTTGCATTCAGTAAACGCCACTCGCTAATGGTTTTATTACAGCTCGTGTGAAATTCATTAATACTTCCAAGAAAGCAATAAAGCTATTAATTAAATAATGAAGACGGTCTGTTGCACAAATAGTCGGGTCTTTCGGCCAGACGTATGGTCGGTTTTATAATAAAAAAAAAAAAAAAAAAAAAAAACGCTAATACGCACAGGTGAGTGAGCGAAAAGTTCACTCACCAGACGATCCCTTCATTCATTCATTCGAGCCAGCGCGCGTCACGTGGAGAGAACTAAGTGTGTCACTTTCGCAAGCTGCTGTTAAATTTTGCCCAAGGCAAAGACACTTTTGCCTTTAAAAACCATGATCGTCGACTACTTAAAAACCAGACGGAGTCAAATTTTTAATTTGACGCTCTTATTCTTATTAAGTCGCCTTTCCTAGAACGCTGATCTGACAAAGACAGGGCGTGTGTAGCGCACCTTTGTGAGGTATATACAGGTTGGCCCATAAGTAGTCCGTGATCTTTGACAGCTCGCCACGGGCGAACCGTTGGTCGAATTTGAAAAATCTGCACAGATTCTGAAAGCCCAACTTTCTACAAATTTGCCTGGCTTAGTAAGAATTTTGGCAGAGTTGAAATTGTAATTGTTTTAAAAGGAAAACTAAAAAATGAGAAAGTGCCTTATGGGACTTCCCATATAGCAGCATTATGAGTGTCGGAAGTTCAAAGTGAAAATCATGTTTTTTAGGTAAATCGACCCTCCTGAACACGAATCCGTGGTCGGTTTTTTGAAATTCTCATTATTTCTAATTTTGTCCCTCAATTTGCAAATATTTGCAAAATGTGCCAAAAAAACTAACACGTGGAGATAAAAATCTGAAAATTGCTGGAGGGGTGGATCTTGAACATAGCAACAACGTAATTTTTCCATACTTGCTATTTTCCGGAAAATTGACCATTTTCACAAGGGGTCCACGTTTTGGTCGATTTCCCGATTTTTATGGGAGTTAAAAACAAAACTTAAAGTGATTCTGAAAGCTGATTAAATTTCCTATCTTTCTTCTGTGAACATTAACTTTCCAACACTGGCTGCTTTTCCGGAAAATTGAAGAAAAAAATTAACTTATTTTTCCCAGAGAGTATGCAACCCGCAACAGAAAGTCGAAATAGCCAAAATGTAGCTTGGTTCTTTGGCAAGACACCCCTAAAATTTCAAAACTTTTCATTCAGCCGTTTTTCCGCAATCGCTGATTTTCCCGACCCCTTTTGGGAAAAATAAAACTTTTCCGGAAAGTCATGTGTGATGCATCATTCGATTAGGCACGTCAAGGAGATGCTAGAAATGAATTTTTATCAAAATCGGATCATTTTTCAAATTTTCAGAGCAGTTTGAAAAATGAACTTTTTTTAATTTACAAAATCTGCTCTGAAAATTTGAAAAATAAACCGATTTTGATAAAAATTCATTTCTATCATCTCCTTGACGTGCATAATCGAATGATGCATCACACATGCCTTTCCGGAAAAGGTTTATTTTTCCCAAAAGGGGTCGGGAAAATCAGCGATTGCGGAAAAACGGCTGGAGGAAAAGTTTTGAAATTTTAGGGGTGTCTTGCCAAAGAATCAAGCTACATTTTGGCTATTTCGACTTTCTGTTGCGGGTTGCATACTCTCTGGGAAAAATAAGTTAATTTTTTTCTTCAATTTTCCGGAAAAGCAGCCAGTGTTGGAAAGTTAATGTTCACAGAAGAAAGATAGGAAATTTAATCAGCTTTCAGAATCACTTTAAGTTTTGTTTTTAACTCCCATAAAAATCGGGAAATCGACCAAAACGTGGACCCCTTGTGAAAATGGTCAATTTTCCGGAAAATAGCAAGTATGGAAAAATTACGTTGTTGCTATGTTCAAGATCCACCCCTCCAGCAATTTTCAGATTTTTATCTCCACGTGTTAGTTTTTTTGGCACATTTTGCAAATATTTGCAAATTGAGGGACAAAATTAGAAATAATGAGAATTTCAAAAAACCGACCACGGATTCGTGTTCAGGAGGGTCGATTTACCTAAAAAACATGATTTTCACTTTGAACTTCCGACACTCATAATGCTGCTATATGGGAAGTCCCATAAGGCACTTTCTCATTTTTTAGTTTTCCTTTTAAAACAATTACAATTTCAACTCTGCCAAAATTCTTACTAAGCCAGGCAAATTTGTAGAAAGTTGGGCTTTCAGAATCTGTGCAGATTTTTCAAATTCGACCAACGGTTCGCCCGTGGCGAGCTGTCAAAGATCACGGACTACTTATGGGCCAACCTGTACATTTTATAATTGTTTTTTAATTTTTTCATTAATATCGGTCAATGGATACATTTCCTCTTTAGCCAATAAAATAAGCATTTTTATTTGAAGACAAAAGTGTATTTAATACACTTAATAATATTTAATAATATTAAATCATATTCTCTTGTAGTCAAACTTCAAGAAGTAAAATAATTGAAGTGGGAAATTTTTGGCATGGAATCATCACACTTTGATATCCACATTTCATTTTAATTTTTATGATTTTTTTTAATGTTTTTTGTTTTAAATTAAGGCATTGGCAATATTATGTATACGTTAGCAATGAAAACTGTTTTGTTTTATGAGATGAATGAGGAAATATAAATTCATGTTTATCATCATACCTTGCAAATTATTTTATTCAATTATCCAAACTTCTTACATCATTTAGCAAATCATCATTAAAATTTCATAACTGGCAACATAACAGAACCACAAGTAATCAACATACTTTTTAAATTTTATTTTCCACTTTCAATCAATGTACATTGCATACCCTCTAATTTTCAGTACAAAAGTTGCAGCACAAAATTTATGGTGCAAAAGTGTATTATTTGTGGGTTTCTTTCCAATCAAACAGTTCTGCGAACATTAATTGCACTCTCTCGTTCGATTATTTGGAAGAAAAATAATTGTTTGCGGTAAGAAAATTATTTATAAAATATAGATAAAAACTTATGAATTCTTGACTTTGAAATGATATGGACAAATTACTGCTGGACCGAGTGCAATGGAAACTAAATGGGATCACAGGAACAACTGTAGTAGCATAAATGAAGGGTTCATATTATTTTCCTCTCTTGCCACTACGATGACTGCTAGATTTACCAACAGAGTCAGAGGACGAATGACCAGAACTCACAGTAGAACCTAAAAAGGCCACTTTTTTAAAATCAAATAATCCAAAAAATTTCATAATGCAAGTCAAAAACAAAATAAGAGGAAGATTGTATTAACACATACCAAAAAATAAGGATAAGGAGCAGGTAAGGGCCAATTAGGGCCATAGCAATCATTTGGATTTATCATCATCTACTGAAAGTAATTAAGGGTTACCAAAGGGTTACCAAAGGGTTAAGGGCTCAAGTAAAAACTAACTTCAAAGTAAGTAATCTTAATTCTATGATAACAAAAAAAGGTGGATGTAAACAAAATTGTTGCTGTTGAAAATTAAAAAAAAAAAACAAAAGCAGACAAAAATTTGAAAAGCTACTGACAAATTAAAAATGACAGCAACCTTAATTTTTATGGTTTTGATGCTTCTAAAGAAGTCCAAAAGCTCCGAACTTTGGAGAATTTCTTTCGCCCTTCTCAGGTGAAAAAGAGCAGCAAAAAACGAAGAAAATATTCATGCCCGTTTCATGCACATGAAGTTGTTAACAACTAAAGCCAATAGATACTACAAAAAGAGCTGCTCACCTTTGAGTTCCTTGTCCCTGGGCACGGGCCTGAAACCAGCTCGAGACTCCTCCCAAGGTCTGCCTGCAGAATGATAGGGCGGATAGTCGTGATTGCCGCCCCCATACGGGGGTGGCGATGGCGATCTACTTCCGTACCGATAGCGAGGCAGCGAGCGGTCAGAAGCAGGGGAGCGTGGGCGATAGGGCGAGCTATTGTAGCGGTCCGGAGGTGGAGGCGAGAAGTGGTGAGGAGGTGGTGAGCTCATTCGCCCAAGAGGAGGCGGCCGCCGGTCAGGGTAAAGAGGCAAAGGTGGAGGTGGTGACTGCATGTACTCCGGGGGCGGGGGAGGAGGCATGAAGGCACTCAGTGGCGGAGGTGGAGGCAACATGTAGTGCGGGGTTGGCGAGTCACCGATGTGAAGGCCTGGCGAGGTTGGTAACTCACCCCCATTGCTCTCCATCGATCCTGTTATAAGGAGAGGAATTTAACTACTTGTCTAGCGCTTCTGCTACTGCTTAAGGGTTTTGCTTCTAAACTGGCAACTTGTTATCGTGATTTTTTTCCACAAATCGGATTACTGTATTATTTGTGTAAGCAAATTTAAGGCTTCTTGTTATGTTTAAAATCTCTAATGTGTGAGCATAAAAGGTGAAATGACTTACTTAACGGAGCACCCTTTCCATCCTCACCATTTTGTACTAGAGAAGTGCCTTTCTCTAGCATGGTAAGTCTGGAAACACAATGTATAAATTTGATTGCATGTTACTAACACTAAACAAAAAAATACCTATTTCTTAGTGTACTCGATTCTTGCTTAGTTTCGTCTAATTTTCTTTCTGCTTGTCTTGCAGCGATCTGAAATTTTTTTTATCACAATGCACTGTCTTGTTAAAGACACAAATTATTTACCCAATTTTCATGTGCTTTTTTCTCCAGCGTACTGATTTGACCTTTAAGGCTTCTCTCTTGGTCAATAATTTCATGTTTTAACGTCTCATTTTGAGTTCTGAAAACAAGACAATGATTTATTTACTATTTTATCAGAAAATCAAGTAGTCACAGCAATAAGTATTCGCAACCAAAACTATATTCTAGCAAAACAATTTACTCCAAGCAGCACCAATCTACTCGAGCCTCCTAAGAAAGTACCCAGTAATTTTAACAGGTGAATGATGGACAATTTTGACAGGCGTTGCTGGGCGAGGAGGCCACTGCTTGCTGAACTTGTTGTTAGTGATGTTTTTTATGTTGGGAAAGTCTATACTGTTCTGTCTCTGGATGCGCATATCATTGCAACTAACACACGACATTAGTGACCACTTGCAAACCCTGATAAATATATTAAAATTTGGTTGTTGTAGCCGCAAAATATTTGTGCGAGCGGCAATTACAGACAATATTATTAGATTAGTTAAAAAAGACCTCATCTGAATGGTGAAAAATATATCAAACAGCTTGCAGCCAAGGTTTTCTTTTTTTAACATGAAAGGACTGCTTACTTATAGTTTTCGATTTCTTCCTCCAATGACTTGATTCTGGTCTGCGTTGAGCTTGCGTCTTCATTTTTCCTGACACAGATCGCTTCTTGGAAGCCAAGTTCCCTGCAAAAACAATCATTTGAGAACTCTTATTTTAAGTAAACTAATTAATATTACTTTTGCAACTGAGCTTCTTTTTCTTTGAAGTAGTCGGAGAGAACCTCAAGACGAGTAAGGGCGTCTTGCTTTTCTCTCTCGGCTGCTTCTCCACGCTCGTGCAGCTTTTCAACTTCAGCTTTGATTACTCTGACGTGGTCTTCCAATAGCTGTCTAGCATCTTCCTCACACTGCAGTCTCTCTTTCAGCACATCTCTCTCACTCCTCAGCAGCTTCAGTTCAGCCTGAGCTTTACTTACATCCAACATGGCCTCCAATTTTTTATTTGCTGCAGTAAGAAAAAAATATTAAGGATGAAAACTTCTTTGAATCTACTGACCTTTATCAGAGTTTACATCACTCATTGTTTCCAACTTTCCAATGCTTTCTCTGAGAACTTCCAGTTCAGAATTTCTATGTTTCAAAGAATTTTGTGATTCAGCCAAACTAGCTTCGCTTCCTGCTAATTTCTTCTTCAGAGCATCTACCTCTACTTCTCGCAGATTAGTGGCCTGTACGATCATTTTTTTTAGAATAAACCATCAGTAGACTGTAATTTATTCACCTCTTGCAATTGATTGGCAAGAGTGTTGCAAGCTTCCTCTAATTCTTGCTTCAATGCATTCTTTTCTCCTTGAGTTCTTTCTAATGAATCAGTCATGCTTGCAATTTCCTCCTCCAGTTCATAAATCTTTTCATTCGAGGCATCTAGCTCCGCTTTGACTTTCTCGTTCTAAAATAGTTATAAATACCCATTGTCACAAATAATAATTAAGAGTTAATGTTAATACAATTACCTCCTCGGTCTTTGCACTCAGAGCTTGGTTCATTGAGCTGATGGTTGCTTGCTGCTTGTTGAGCTGAGTCTGAAGAAGCTCAACACTTTTGACGAGATCTTGAGATCCTCGCTGCGTTGATAGAAATTCAGAAAGCATTTTATTTAGTTCAAGGCCAGCCTCTGTGGCTGCTTCGAGTTCCGATTCCAAAGACTTAATCTGCTCCTCTTGTTCTTCGCATAATCTCTGTGGGTAATTACATGTTTGCACAAAATAATTAATTTGAAAACATGATACCAAAAATGGCAAACCATGCAGAAGTGAAAGAAGAGAAAAGGCACTGTGAATTGAAAGATATGAAATACAAACAATTTATATGAATTTGAAATATGTGCAAGCATGCATTTCCCGAAAGCAACCCCCAGATTACACAAAATTCATACCTGTGATTCAACGAGCTCAGCCCTTATTTCAAGTATAGCTTCTGATGAGTCTGTAGTGGTAGTTTCAATGCCAGAAAGCTGCAAATTATAATGATATTGTTTAGAAATCACAGTTAACTTTTACAGATTAAATTTGTATTGAAACCTTTTCATTTGTGTTCTGAAGGTCCTCTTTTAAAATCAGGCACTCTTTTGTTGAAACCATTAGCTCCCTCTGCAGATTGTTGATCTTTGATATTAAAGCTCCATCTCGTTTCATTTTCTACAACATCAGCATTTTTGAGCACAAAAGATAAGATGCAAATTTTCTTGGCTTTACCTCAATATAATAGTGACCGAGGGTGAACAAAAGTACAGTGATGGCAGTGATTACCAAATATAGAAGGGTGCCAGAGGTTGCTACTGTATCCCAGTCCATGGCCGAGACTTGCTGCTGCGGGCAAATATTAAAAATTACCGCATCTCTTTTATCAATTTATTACTTCTGAATGGGGCTGCTGATGTGGATAGTGAGTATAAGAGTCAGCTGGTACTTCTGCTTGCTGGGTTGGAGTGACGCCAATGTTGCCGCATGAGACAGCGTCGCATGCTAAAAATAAAAAGTTGATGCGCTTACTTGTAATGATCAAAACATTGCAATTTTAAATATTTAATTATAATATTTAATATATTTAAAACCAGTTATATGTGCGTTTTAGTGCGCTTATGTGTTAAAATTTTGTCATTCTTTCAATTCAAATTTAACCAAATAAATTAATTAGGTTTAGTAAATGATTATACCTTTTTCTGTCTCTTCAGTCACAGGCTCATCTGGCGCAACAGAAGAACTCCAGAACCAAGATCCCGTTGATAGACCTTCTTCAGCAGGCTGTTCCTCTTCAGCCAGCAATTTTTCTGTGATGACCTCCTCAGGAGTTGCATCAATTTTCTTCTCTTCTTTACTTGAACTTCCAAACAAATTGTAAACCCAATCGGCAAAAATTCCTACTTCTTCTTCCTGAGTCTCATCATCAGATGGATTTTCTATAGTTTCTTCAACTGTCTTCTCACTCTCTGATGTTTCCAAGACCTGAGGCAGGACAGTAGTTGATTCCTCTACTGCTGGTGCAACATATGGATCTGTTGTTTCTTCTACAACTGGGAGGTCATTTTCCTCTACAACGGGAGCTGAGGGCACCGTGATTGTGTCCTCGATGACTTGACCAGTCTCATAGTTTTGATAAGGACTGAAAGTTATATCTTCATCCTTAACAACTTCTACTAACTTCAAATTTTCTGTTTCCACAGAAGCTGTCTCCTCAGATGTAACTTCTTCGATTGAATTGAAGGTAGTTTCTGTTGTCACTTCCTCGCTGTAAAGTGGTACTTCCGATGAAGATAATTGTTCAGCCGAATCAATTGACTGAGTTGCGTCCTCCTCAATTGGAATATTTTCCGTTGGAATGGGAATATCATGCTCTGGTTGAGTGATGCTAGGGTAACTGGAATACTGATAATTTATTTCATCTGAAGACGGAGCATCTACTGTTTCTTGGTAAGGGTCTGGTACTGTCTGAACTGGGGGTTCCTCTGGAAGAATCTGTTTTGCTGTAGGGATTTCTTCTTGATGAGTCTCCAAGTCACTTTCTGGCGTCTGCTCTTGAATGCTAGCTTTTGCAGAGAGGAGATTGATCTCGGAAAGATCCACAGTTTTATCTTCCGGAGGCTCTGGGGTCACAGTCTCAGTTGCCTGCTCCTGAGTTTCTTCCATCTCCCCAACCACTTCTTCTTGCCCAGTGTCTACTGTTTCCTTACTTCCTCCATCCCCACTAGATTCTAACCATCCAGTCAATGTGTCACTAAGATACTCCATGACGGAATCATCCTTCGCCAACTCGGGTGGCTCCGAAACTGCTTCCATACTTACTCCGTCAGTTTTATCCTTATTCAGAAGCTCGTCGTCTTCCTTTTCCTCTTCAAGAGGAGGTGTTTCAGGCTCTGGTGTTGCGTGCTCTACAGCTGGTTCTTCTTCAGTTGGTGGGGTTGCTGTAGCTGTCATCTGTGGTGATGGTGGAATAGTGTCAGGGGGTGGTGGTGGGGGCCTAGTCTGTTCGACAGGAGTGACGGTTTTGCCAATTTCGGCATCTTCCGGCATGTAAATTGTGGTCCCATCCACTACTATCACATTGGGTTCTTCTAAAACATAATAGAAAAAGAGTTTGAAAGAATCTCAATAATTGTAAGTAAAAAAAAAAATTTAAAAAAATAAATACCTTTTGTTTCTTCATTAGCGTCCGGCAAAGGTGTGGGAGCAAAAGGCTTATCGGTGACTTCGTCAACTTTATTTTCATCTGCTGATGCTTTCTCTGCTTGTTGGGCCAACTGCTCCAGGCCCAGTTCTGTAGGAACTGTGTACTTAAGATTGCTGTTCAGGATTTTTTGTTCCCTAATCAAGCTTTTTGGCACATAACCACGCTTTCCGTCGATCTATATGAATTAAAATTTTTAGAGTAATTCAAGGGATTTTATTTAAAAACTAAACTGCTCACCTCTGCACCCCAAAGGTCAGTGTTCTTGCCAGCTGACTTGCTGTAGATGACGATCTTGTCTGAAGGCTTGAAGGAGAGGATCCTTGCGTCATCGCTGTTGTAAGACAACACTGACCGTGCTATCGAAACAGGCACTGCAAACAATTATGGAATAAGCTACAAATTTTAAGATAATGATTAATCGATAGTAAAAATTATATATTTAGAGCATGCCAACGAAAGTGCTTTTGCGATGGCTTTTGTTTTTCCCCTTTAAAAAATTAGCTATATGCTGCCTACTGATAACTTTCCAAGGTTTCAATCTCACTTGTTGAGCACTGCTTGGAATGTGAAAATCCAAATCACCTTTCTTCTTTGCATTTCAGTGGTTTCTGCGTGGACTAGACATTGCTCACGCATGCATTGTTTTATGTACTGTCGCAATAATACCATAGCAAAGAACCTTTGTGTGAGCATATCGAAATATTTATTGATTTATTTAAAATAACTGTCACAATATTAAATGATTTGTGTGCCACACTGTATAAATTTATGGGCGTGGAAAATTTTAAAAGCCTAGAAAAATAAAATATTGCAAGGGAAAAAAGTGAAAAAACCACCTCGATAAATTATACTTTTACGCTCAAGGCTGGCTCCAGGTATATATTTTTTTAGTCATCAGTTTAGGTATTAAATAAATATAATTGATATGAAATGATAAGGTATTATTATAATAATTATGTTACACAAAACGAACAAGAAACGTAAATAATTATAAAAAAAAATTTGGCATTCATTTTTCATTTGCGAGGTTTTTATGGTTATTATGGCAGGAGATATGAATTATAAAATTCTATTATTAATTTAAGTTTATTGGAGAGCAGAAAAAATATGGATTAATTTTGTGAACGAAGAACGAAGCACGAAAAACAACGAAAACGTCTCGTCACCAACAAGCAAATCTGGTACCAGCAGGCCACTCTTAGGTGATACAGCAAAAGGGGCTGGACGGTAGAGTGAACATTGGATTTTTCGGCCCGATTTGAGCTCTACTCACCTGAGCAATTTTCATCGACGCACAGCCGCTGGTCGGAGATTCTAGCGTGAACTAACAGGAAAACTGAGAGCGAGCAAAGCACGAGAAATTTGGCAAAAATATGCATTTTTCAGAGAAGGTATTTTGAACAGAAGATACACGTCAACATCCTGCTAGTCTCTGATACCAGATGGCAGTGCAGTCGGCTCTTCGTCGCTAAACAAAATTTTTAGCCAACCCAACCCATTTTCCAAGCCCGCGGGGCACGGGCAACAAGGAGTACAAGGACCTGCGAGGTACGTCAAATTTGCAAAATGCATATTGCTCACAAAACAACGAAGGGACTAGAGACTAAAGGGTCCAAAACCGCTAAAAACGTCATTAAAAATTCTAAGCGTAAGCAATCATTTTCCTCGTTTGCTTTTTGCTTTTGGAGTTTAAAGCATTAATATGAATAAAGCGGAGAATGAAAAAAATAATATTTAATAATAATAATTACAATAATTATTGATACAAATTTTTTTTAAAACATTTTTTGCTATTCTTACTAAATAAATCATTGCATGTATTTAATTTATAAATTAATTATTATTAATTAATTGCCAAAGTCCAGATTTTGCTATCAGTTCAGTCTTTATTTCCGTGTAACTAATTTATTTCCTATTTTCAATAAATGTATGCAGTGAAGAATAAATTATGCAATAAGGCTTACTATAATTCCGTGGCGAATATGAGACCTTTTTTATGTTTTATGTTTTTTATGTCGCAAAAAAATGGACCTATCACCGGGCCTTATCTGCCCATATACATCACTCGGATGACTTTTCGTGCTTAAAATGTATGTATGTCATTTTTGTCAATTAGCAAAATACAGCAGAGGAATACTATATTTACACCGATTTATTTTATATATTTGGAAAGTCTTTTATGTCACACGTCACACAATTAAATTAAAAAATGTAACCCTAAAAACATTGAAATTTTAGCCTGGCAACATTATTATCTTTTACTATTGTGTGCCGTTTTGTTCAACAATTTTCTTTTCTTCGCTATTATATATAACAAAAACTTTTTTATGATAATTAAATTTAAAATAATGTTTTTAAGACTTTCGTCAAATAAAAAATTTCATTACAAGATATAAAAATAATTTTTACCCCTCTTCAATCATTTTTAAATTAAATTTTTGTGTCATACAATTATTTGGATTTTAGTCTAAAAATATCTTTACCGCGGGATCTAAAAAAAACTGTTTGGGCAGGTTTGTGCATTGATATTAAATTATCTAACAACGACTCTTCTTGTTGGAAAAATATCGCGTCGAAAACTTACTGATTTTATATTTTTTCAATGAATAAACAAATAAGTACTCTATCTTATAATTTACTTTTGATATTGTTAATCGTTAAATTGAATATCACATAACGAATTTTAATCAAGATAATTTTTATTAACCTTTTTCTGAGTAAAGACTTTTTTTATATTCTGCAATGATCTGAATATTGATTTAATGCTTATTAATTCTGTAGATTATGTATGCTAACCATAATTTTTACTATTGTATAAAAATATCAAAAATTCAATTAAATTTTGTACAAAATTAAAATGACGTAATGCTATTAATCTAAGGAAACCCACCGCACCCTCTTGCCTGCCGCGAGCGCTGCAGCGGCGCTGTTTTCATCAGCTGGCCAGGCAAACTAAACACGAGGATCCGCTCATAATAATAAAAAAATATTCGTTCTTTTGTAGGCTACGCGCTCCTCACGCCGACCGATGTCGAAGAGAAAAGAGAAATCGACTCACTTCTTCTCACTCTCGTTGCTAGTGGGTCGCTTCCTCTACCCAAGAATTTGTGAATGAAGAAGAAATGAGGCTCCAGTCGTCTCAAAAGTAAGGTCAAGCGTCAAGCCCCGTCTCTTTTGAAGAGACCGCAAGAAGAATCTGCATTGGTAATATCCTTCATACTTAAAAAACACAGTGCACAGTGCAGTCCGAGACGATGGAACGAAAAGTTGTGATTTTGTCTGCAGCCCGAACGCCCATAGGTATGAGCAAATTGAAGATTTATGATATATTTGAAAATAATCACAAATAGTTATTCATGTTCTTATTGGATCTGTCATTATGGCGTAGAATGTATGTAGGTCCAAATAATAGAAACAACCTTCTTCTCAAAAGATAGTTAAAATCATCAGAAATTCAGTTTATGCATTGAACCCAATTGAACCTATTCACAGTTAAAATCGTCTTAAATTTTTTGAATTGATTAAGTGAAAATAAACATTATGTGTATACATACATAAATATATTTATTTATGAAAATTTTTTTAATAAATTGATCAATAATCGAGGTTTTGACAATATTTTTTGTTAATGGGGTTTTTTCAAATTAAAAAAAAAATATAGATATGTGTATGAGCAAATACTTATATTTATATGACGTTTCTCATTCAAAAATTTTATTTATTAGGTTCGTTTTGCGGTGCACTTTCTACGCTGAAAGCACACGATTTGGGCTCCATTGCAATTAAAGAGGTGCTGAAAAGAGCAAATCTGGATTCCAGCCTTGTCGATGAAGTCATCATGGGCCAAGTAAGCGTGAATTATTTTATTTTTGTACTTTTTTTCTTTTTTTCCATCAATAAAATTAAATAATTTTTTACATAAAAAAAATAGGCTCTGAGTGCAGGCCAGGGGCAAAATCCTGCAAGACAAGCTTCAGTGAACGCAGGAATCCCACATTCTGTGCCAGCCTACTCCATCAACATGCTCTGCGGGTCTGGACTAAAGTGGGTTTGCTTCAAGTTATCTAGAGTTTTAATTCTGTACTAACTTCACTATCTACTAGGTCTGTTGGCGTTGGAGCTGCATCGATTTTGAGTGGCTCGAGCGATTTTGTGGTGGCTGGAGGCCAGGAAAGCATGAGCCAAGCGCAGCACGCTATGTTGCTTCGGACAGGCGTCAAGATGGGTTCCGCAACGTTGGTAGACACGATGCTGTCCGATGGACTGACCGATGCCTTCATAAACTGCCACATGGGCATCACAGCTGAAAACGTGGCAAAGAAGTGGTCAATCACTAGGGAGGATCAAGATCAAATGGCACTGGCATCGCAGAAAAAGACTGAAGCTGCCCAAAAAGCAGGTCACTTTGACCAAGAGCTGATCACCGTTTCTGTGCCTGTCCCACGGGGAGAACCAAAGTTAGTTTCGGCTGACGAATACCCTAAACACGGTGCTACCTTAGAGGCCATGACCAAGCTCAGACCCGCCTTTGACAAGGCAGGTTTTATATAATCTTTTTTTGCATTTTATAAAAATTATTAAATTTTAGTCCGGAACTGTAACTGCTGGAAATGCATCAGGAATCAATGACGGAGCAGCTGCTGTGGTTCTTGCTGACGAGGGTGCCGCCAAATCAAAAGGATTGCAGCCTATTGCAAAAATTGTTTCATTTGCTCAGGCTGGAGTCGACCCAGCTATCATGGGAATTGGGCCAGTGCCTGCAGTTAAGGCAGCTGTATGTTATTTTCCTTAATTTATTTACCACAAGCGATGTATTTATGCTTTTTCATAAGAATAGATAGTTAATTTTTTAACACCTTCTTGTTTGTTTAAAGGTTGCAAAAGCCAAATGGACTTTGGAAGAAGTAGACTTATTTGAACTTAACGAAGCTTTTGCTGCTCAGTCAATTGCAGTAGCTAGAGATTTGGGCATTGATAACAGTAAAGTTAATATCAACGGAGGAGCTATTGCTCTGGGCCATCCCATAGGTGCCTCTGGTGAGTAAAAAAATTATGTGTTGAACTTAAAAAAATTTATTTCTTTTATAGGTGCCCGTGTGCTGGTTACATTGCTGTATGCCTTGAAGAGGACTGGTTCTAAAAAAGGAGTAGCTGCTCTTTGCGTTGGTGGGGGTATGGGGGTAGCAATTTGTGTCGAGATTTGTTAGTTTGGTAACAAAAATTTTTAAGTGCAAGTAATAGAAAGAGGGACAATAAAGGGCGTAAATTTTCATATTGCCTCATTTAATTTATAGTTGGATGTTAAAACTGTACTTCAGTATTTTTTATTCATTTAACTTTGCACAATATTTTGCCAGTATTTTAATCCAATTTTTTTTCTTACTGAATCTTTTATCAATATTATATTACATCATTTTAATATTTTTTGCTACAGATGATAATATTATGCTCAAGCACCTGTAATACTTTTCTAGGGTACCATACAGTATACCATACAAAATAAATACCTTTATATTGTGTACTATTTTTAATTGTTTTAATATGAAATAAAATCAGTATTAAAATGACTTCTTTATTTGTCTGATTTTTAAAATCAGATTGTTTATATTTTAAACTTCAAAAATTTCAAATCAAATTATTCAAAAGCAAGATAAATAAATACAACTTTCTAACCTTTCGCAATTTTTTCTATTAACTAGTTCTCACAACATTTTTCTAAATTTGAACTATTATTATATTATAGAAGTGTCATTGTAACTAAAATAAACTTACTGAAATTTGGAACATTTTTTCAACAATAATCAGTGATTTTTATCTTATATAAGATTGAGTTTGAGCTTCAATATCATAAATACACCCTTATCGAGTCGAGTATATTGAACCTTCATAATAATATTTTGGTGGATTTTCGCAGATTAGCCATGTTCGATTCAAATTTTCGCGCTGCAGCACGTGTCGAAGTGGGAAAACTGAAAAAACAAAACAGTCATAAAACAAAAACAGCTATGGCGGCACTCAATGTTGACGACGAATCGGTTTACCGACTCGAAGGATCCAATTCTGAGCAAAAGGGTGGTTTGATTATCAAGAAAAAAATTAAAAGTGAACCTGAAGATGATGACTTTAAAAAGCCGATGTTGCCTACGTCCGGATCCCTTCTTGGCCTCGACAAACTCGCTGGTAAGAAGCTGAACATGAATTTCTCGTACATTCCTATTTAGATTGATATTTAAATAACTTTGCGTTTTTCAGCTTTGAAGCGTAAAGAAAACGAAGAAAAAAAGCCCACATTGAAAAGTGAGAATGATGATCAAGAAGGTGATCAAGCAAACAAAAGGACGGACAGGAAAGACAGGTGAGTTTTGAGTTTTCTGAAGACCAGAAATAATTTTTCCACCATAATTATTGATTTGCTTGTATTTTATATTTTGGTTAAAAATTTAATGTTTACAACAGAAATTACCGTTCTAAATATGAAGAAACCCCAACACATACGGGTGGCATTTCACGTGAAGCAAAAGAACGATTAGCAGGCAGACAAAGCAAATATCAGGAAAAAGGAATTCATGCCTCTTCGAAGCGACCGAGACGCGACGATGAACCAAGGTCAAGAGATAGAGACAGAAGAGATCGTGATAGAGGTAAAATTTTTAAGTAATTATTAATTATGTATTTTTCTTCAATACTTCTGGTGCAGATCGAAGAAGAGATCGAGACAGGTCAGAACGGAGCTACAGATCAGAACGATCAGGCAGGTCCGATCGATCAGAGCGTACCCCAAGATTCTCGGATGAGCCAGAAACTCCAAAATTCCGAGGAGCTAGAGATTTATCTAGGTAAATCAGGACATTTGAATGCATTTTAGAGCCTACAAATTCAATCCTAAATATTTCCAGGTCTACCTGGGATGAAGACGAACCGTCCGGCCAAAGGAAATCAACATGGGATTTTCCCACTCCAAGTTCTCACAGGGACCATTCTGACTGGTCTGAGAGAGGCACAGAACGTGGCTGGAAGAGGAATATAGATGAAACCCCCATGCCAACTCCAACTCATAAGTACAACGCTTGGGCAAGAGATAAGAAAAAGTCTGGTGCCACACCAGCAGTGAAAGGAGGTAGTTTAATAAAACGTAATTCTTACGCCAAATGGTTATATTTTAAAAATTTAGATGGTAATGATTGGGAAGAGTACGAAGACTGGGAAGATGAGCAGAAACGACTTGACAGAGAGTGGTATCAAATGGATGAGGGTTACGATGATGCTCACAATCCCTTTTCTAATGTGTCGGAAGACTACACAAAGAAGAGGGAGGAGCAGCTTGAGCAGAAGAAAATAAAAAGAATGTCAGCTCAGCAGCGGCAAATCAATAAAGTATAAATATTCTTTGAATCCATTTGTGGTTGAAAATGTTAATCAATTTACTTCAGGACAATGAGCTTTGGGAGAGAAACAGGATGCTCACATCCGGAGTTGTCCAAGCTGTGGATTTAGATGAGGACTTTGAAGAAGAGAGCGTAGCTAGAGTTCATTTGCTAGTGCATAACATTGTCCCTCCATTTCTCGATGGCCGCATTGTGTTCACTAAGCAACCAGAGCCTGTTGTCCCAGTAAAGGTAAGAATCCAGAGGTTTCGGTGGGTGTCGAAGGAAATAAAGACCCCACCCCCAGGAAATTTCTTTCCTCGTACCTCTAACCCTGAATTGATCTCATGATCAAAATTATTACAATTGTTTTAAAAAATGTATTAATTTAATTTCATGACCAGGACCCAACCTCAGATATGGCGTTGGTTGCTAGAAAAGGTTCAGCGCTTGTTCGTGCATTCCGTGAGCAAAAAGAAAGAAGAAGAGCTCAAAAGAAACATTGGGAATTGGCTGGAACAAATATTGGAAACATCATGGGTGTTCAAAAGAAAGAAGAAGACCGGGTAACAATAATAAATGAGAAAATATATATTTTTTTTTTAAATTAATAAATAGAGTATTTATTAAACACAACTAGGTGTATAGCGGGTTCCTAATGAAATTAATTGATTCTTATTTAATCTAATAGGATGAGAGGTTGAATGACAAAGATGAAACTGACTATCGTACAGACCAAAAGTTTGCTCAGCATATGAAGGACGATCCCGGGAACAAAAGCAGCGATTTTGCAAAAAAGAAGACGTTTACAGAGCAAAGACGATACCTTCCTGCATTTGCTGTTCGACAAGAGGTATAAACAATTAATCACTAATTAATTTATTTACATTCAAAATAAATTTGTTCCGTGAAAATGAATTAAACTTTTTTCTTTTGATAGCTTTTGAATGTGATTCGTGAGAATAATGTCATCATTGTGGTTGGTGAAACCGGCAGTGGAAAAACAACTCAATTGACCCAGTATCTGCATGAAGATGGTTACTCCAAGTATGGCATGATTGGCTGCACACAACCGAGGAGAGTTGCTGCAATGTCTGTGGCAAAACGAGTTAGTGATGAAATGGGAACGGTCCTTGGTGAAGAGGTAGGATATGCCATCCGCTTTGAAGACTGCACCTCTGATGTAAGTTTTAGTTGTTATTCATGAAATAAATATTTTTTTTACATATTTTTTCAATCGTAGAAAACCATCATTAAATACATGACAGATGGTATTTTACTACGAGAATCCCTCAGAGAGGCTGACTTAGACCACTACAGCGCAATCATTATGGATGAAGCTCACGAAAGGTCCCTTTCGACTGACGTTCTTTTTGGCCTCCTGCGAGAGGTAAATATTTGAATTTATTATGTTTCAAATTTACTATTTTTTTTTTTAAATAGGTTGTTGCACGGCGAACAGATCTCAAATTGATTGTCACTTCGGCCACCATGGATGCAACCAAATTTGCCATGTTCTTTGGAAATGTCCCAGTTTTTAAGATCCCAGGTCGCACTTTCCCTGTTGAGATTGTTTACAGCAAAAATCCTGTTGAGGATTACGTTGACGCAGCAGTCAAGCAGGCTCTCCAGGTGCACCTTCAACCAACTGTTGGAGATATTTTAATCTTCATGCCTGGCCAAGAGGACATTGAAGTGACTTGTGATGTGCTGACTGAGCGTTTGGGGGAAATTGAAAATGCTCCCCAACTTGCTATTTTGCCCATTTACTCGCAATTGCCATCTGACCTACAGGCAAAAATTTTTCAAAGGGCACCTGATGGACTCAGAAAGTGCATTGTGGCTACAAATATTGCTGAAACTTCGTTGACAGGTAAATTCCCTCATTTTTTGTTACAAGCGCCGTTAACTTTCATGTTTGATATTTCAGTTGATGGCATTATATTTGTTGTGGATGCTGGCTACTGCAAACTGAAAGTCTACAATCCTCGTATTGGTATGGACGCCTTGCAGATCTATCCAATCAGCCAGGCCAATGCAAATCAGCGTTCTGGAAGGGCTGGCCGTACAGGTCCAGGGCAATGCTTCAGATTATATACCGACAAGCAGTACAAAGAGGAGCTCCTTGCTGGAACAGTACCTGAAATTCAAAGAACAAATTTGGCCAATACCGTTCTTCTTCTGAAGTCTCTTGGAGTGCAGGATTTACTGCAGTTCCACTTCATGGACCCTCCTCCGCAAGACAACATTTTAAATTCAATGTATCAACTTTGGATTTTGGGAGCTCTCGATAACACTGGCAGCTTGACACCACTTGGCAGGCAAATGGCTGAGTTTCCACTTGATCCTCCTCTATGCCAGATGTTGATCGTTTCCGAGAAGATGGGTTGTTCTGCTGACATTTTAATAATTGGTAAGGAAATGCCTATGTTTTTTGCAACAACTTTTAATTTTCATATTTGCAGTGTCCATGCTGTCAGTTCCGTCAATTTTCTATAGGCCTAAGGGCAGAGAGGAAGAAGCCGATGGGGTCCGAGAGAAGTTTCAAGTTCCAGAGTCTGACCATTTAACCTATTTAAATGTGTATAATCAATGGAAAATGAATAAGTAAAGAACTCAAATGTGTCAATGACTCAGATGTGCCAAACTAAACACTTTTTTGTTTTCAGATACTCGGCAAGTTGGGCTAACGAGCATTTCATTCATATCAAAGCTATGAGGAAAGTTCGAGAAGTCCGTCAACAGTTGAAAGACATTATGGAACAGCACAAAATGAGAGTCGTCTCATGTGGCACAGATTGGGATGTGATTCGTAAATGCATCTGCTCTGCTTATTTCCATCAAGCAGCTCGTCTCAAAGGAATTGGTGAATATGTCAACTGCAGAACAGGCATGCCCTGCCATTTGCACCCTACATCAGCCTTGTTTGGAATGGGCTTCACGCCAGACTATGTTGTTTATCATGAGCTCATCATGACAGCAAAGGTGAGGAAATTCATTATAACTGAAGCCTTAAACTTTCATTATTTTGCAGGAATACATGCAATGTGTCACTGCGGTGGAAGGCACATGGTTAGCAGAACTAGGGCCCATGTTCTTCTCCATTAAGCAAGGTGGTAAGTCAGGCAGAGAAAAACGACAATTGGCCCTTGTGCATCAACAGACCATGGAGGATCAGATGTTAAAGGCTCAGGAGGAAATTGAGGAACGCAAGAAAGAGAAAGACCGGCAACATCTGGCAAGCATTAGGAAGTAAGAAAAACATTCTTAATTGATGTTTTTGATGCTTAAAATTGTTTTGGTTATTAACAGAGCGGAGGTGATTGAACTGGGCAAACGAGATCCAGGAACACCTAGAAGGACACCAAAACGATTGGGGTTGTAGCCAGTTGTAGGTTTTTCCGACGAGGATATTAAAGGCAAAAATTTATTTTTAAAAAACATTTCTGTTTCCATGAATCCTATTCTTATTTTTCTTTTAGGTTTTTGCAACTTTTAATAAATAAACACTGTGAAATATTTTGTTAGATTTATATATTTAAGTGTAGAGTTTGATAAACATCAGTAAAGAGGGTTTCATATTCATTTCTGCGAGGAACCTTAACTTAAGTATTATGATCAGATGCCATTTAAACCTTCAATGACATCCACTGGTCCTTTCTTAAGTTAATGACTACCTCAAAAAGTTGATTACAAAAATTATATTTGATATTTTGTTCTGAGGACTACTTAATTTTCCAAAAAAAGAAGCATGCACTTGAATTGTTTTAACAATCAGCTCACAACCTGGAGCTCCCAGTGGCCCATTTCACTCTGTGACGAGAGCAGTTGAATTCAGCTTCAGCATTTTGCCTGAGTCGGCCAGCACAACGTCTCTGAGAAGGTGACGTCGTCTGGCTGAGGGAGACAGATTTGGTGGTGGGACTAAAATGAGATCACCGTCCTGGTCTTCGAGGCCAGCAGCAAGTTTAACTTCTTCCTGTGTGCGTGCTGCTTTTCCAGTTTTGGAGTCAGAAGGTGCAGTTGGCATCAAGACAGGCAGGATCATGATGGCAGCTGCGGCCAACAGGTGATACCACCAGTACATGTGACTGTAGATTCGGATGCATGGCCAGAATTCCAGAAGTACAAAAGGGAAGGTTACGTAGCCCATCAGCACTCTAGTTGCCAAGAATGTAGTCCAATCGTACATCTGCTTGTAATGAATAGAGCCTGTGAAGTGATGACGTAGACACCTCCTTGCCTAAAAATAAGTTTTCCATTAACGATAAATAGGTAATTTAAATATTTATCATACCGATCTTGCAGCAACTGTGAAAAGAGCACCAGAGAGGAAAGTCAGGTAATATCCAGGGTGGAATCCATGCCAAATGGCGCTTAAAATATAAGTCTGCAAGGTGCGCATCTTCGTGTTCCTCTCATAAACTAGCAGTCTGAGCCAAGTTGAAGTGCCTTTGTTCCAAGCCGAAACGGAATCACGGAGACTAGTTCCCGACTGGTAATAAAAATTTTATTTATTTATTTGAACTGCCACAAGATGGTTGAAAAAACATATACAAGCATGATAGAAACGGGTTATAAATGCAACAAATGTGTCGATTAAAAGAGACTTATTACTTACCGATTCAATGAATCACTGGTTTGCAAAACATATATGAAAGGTAAATGAGAACATTTAATTACATGCAGTTATACAGCATTCTCAGTCAAGGGTAGTACAAAAATTAAAGTTAGGCCTACAAAGTTGAGATTTGCAAGTAAAATTTATATAGTAAAGAAGGTTATGATCCCTATGATCAAAATGTATTACAGAGATCGAGAGATTTCAGTTAAGACGTATAGAAGGCACAAAAAACTGAGTCACAGGAAAGAGAAACAATTAACAATCTGCACCACATCATTCCAAAAACTTCCAACTTGGCACGTAGTATTTTAAAAGAAAAGATCAAAACTTACTTCAAATCCAATGACATCAATATTGGAAATAAGGTCCCAGGTGGGTTGTTCTTTTGGATTTGTGGGAACCCTGAGGCCCAATCCAGATGCATTGGAGATGGCGTCAGCCAATAACCATGCATGATAATACTTGAGGCGCACCAACGAGGTTGCCACTATCAGGTACAAAATTTGTGCTGGAACTCCTTTCGTAGTCAGAAACTCTGCATCTAAAATTTAGACATTTAAAATATTGCCATAGTTCATTTGGAAAATAACTGACCTTTAACTCTGCCAATAGGGAAGAGTGGAATCATCCACAAGAAAAATACTAGGCAAAAAATGCTGCCAGCTACCTTATTCAGAACTGCTTTCATAGGTGATGGCTCTACATAGCTGTCTTTGAACTTGCTGTTGTTTCCTTGCTAAAATTTCATTGTTCTAAATGTCTTATCAAAATAAATTATTCTCATAACTTACACTGGCCAAAGATTGGCATTCAGCAAGAGCGACTCCGTGAATATAGTTATGATAGTCGTTGTAAAGGACCAGTGGGCCTGCCAAAATGGTTTGGAATTGTAATACAAAGCTGAAATACTCAAGTGGAGATGGAAGATTTCTGTAAAAGAAAAATTTTATTCAGCTTTGGCTTAACACACAATATTTATGCCGATTTTACTTGATTGCATGAAGAGCCTGCATTGGTTTCAACTTCTCCTTCTTCTCGACATTGCCATCATGCAATGAGTAAGCAAGTGATGTGACTTTTTGAGTGACCACCATCATCGGCCCTGTTAAAAAACATTAAAAATGAACTGCATAATTTAGAAAGGAAAAGATTACAACAAACCTGTCACATCAACCGAGAAGAAATTCTTCTCAATGAATTGATGATACAAGTGTATCAATGATAAGTAGACAAGTGAAATGAAAAGGACAGTCCTGAAAATTTATTATTTTACGCAATTAGATATTATTTTGGCAAAGACAATAATTAAACAGAGGTGTGTGTCGTTTATAGGGTGGATGAGAGGAAGGAAAAATACTCACCTATGGGCGGTTGTTGGTCCCTGCACTTTCATCATGATGTAACAAATGGTGGGCATGCCCAATATATGAATCGTTCTCCTTTAAAGCAAAGAAAATTAATACCAGCAGTGTTTGAGGCGTCGCTTGCAAAATATCGACTCACTTGCCATAGCAGAACCACGACAGGGCAATGCCAAATAGCAGACATACCCTGTGCCTTGTGGTGGCAGAAACTTTTGCAGGGTGTAAAAAGGTGCGCAGAAAGGGTGCTAATAACAAGGCGCAAACAAGACCAGCCACAAAATTGATCTGCAAACAAAATAAAACGCTTGTAAGCAAAAATTAAATGGGGAATAGTTTATTTAAATTAGAAAGGTATTTTTTTTTCATCATATTTAAAATAAATGTCTGTAAAAAAATCATTTTTAAGGGTATGTTTTTGAGTAGTTATTTAAATAATGCGGTTTAGTACGTAAATTTTCAGAGAAATTTATTATAATTTAAAAGCAGTTAAGCAGTACATCTCTACATCAAATAATGCGTATAATATATAAATATAGAATAATATATTTTTTGGGTCCAGGATTATAGATTTTTAATTTAATATTATTTTGTGTTTTTCAGAGATGTGCACCATTAATTTTTTTTTATTTTAAACCATTTTAAACACATCATATTATCATGACAGATAAAATGTGCTTGAAAGACAAAATGCAGCTAGATAAATTTTTACTTCAAATCATAAATATTCTTATCATGTTCAGCTAAAAGCAGTGTCGTAAATTCACGACGAGTGGGGTGAAAATTTTTACTCCCGTCACCATAAATTGAAGAAGTTGCGTGTGCTTTTAACCAGCCTTGCTTTCCTAAGTAATGACAAGTAGCCAACTCATGCAACTATTTTTAATCACAAAGTGCAATAATACTCCAGAATCTATTTCCAACTTTTAACTCGAATCTTTCGCAATACCTTTAAGACCCTGTTTGACCACGCCCAGTGAGCCTAATTTTAAATTAGCCTAGAGCAAATAAAGGAGGCAAAAAGCAGTGAGATCATTAGAGTGGATCACGCCACGTCGGAATCCACCAATTGTCAAGTAAACTCTTATCACACGTTTTATGTCTAGTACAGTGTGCGTACTGTTGTCTCTTTTGGCACAGGAAAGGGAGATAAAGATTTGTTTACAATCCTCAATATTTTCAGTCTTATCAGATGACAGGGTGTAAAGATAAAACGCTGACGACACCGAAAAACTCGCTTTTAAGGAAAAACGCAATTTTTGCACAATATTTCAAACATAAACTAAGTGAAATTGACTTGGTTAACAGAACAAGAAACAATTAACCACCGCATTAACTATTTATGGTAATTTCCATATTTAAAAAAAAATCTATTAGCAGTAATTTGCTAGTCAGATTAGCAAAAATTTATTTTGAAGCATCCACTTATTTTTTTTCAAACAAATATATTTTAAAGTGAAAAAAATTGCACGCAAAAGTGAAAAGACAGTACTCGCCGTTGCTGTATACTTGGCATGCATTCAAACCAATGTGCGGCGTACACACATTCTCAAGAAAAATTCCAGCGCGGTGTCAATGAACCACAATAAGAGCGCGAACTATTATTTATTTTGTGTTGACCCAATCCCCTATCCATCCATCTATTAATTAAAAAAATGGGCTGACCCGGTCTTTTGATTTATTATGGACAGAGGACGAAGAAAAGTCAAGTGACTCGCTTGGGAAATGCGAGCCGCCGGACAATTCTTTCCTGTTCGCGCATATATGACGTGTGCCAGGTGTGTTCGAGCAGCAAGTTTCGAGCATAGCATGGCGCAGACTTGCTGACCTTCCATAAAGTGTGTGATGAAAAATGCAGTCGGCGGTAGTTCTTTCTCCCTGACATTGAAAGTGCGTCTTCCGCAATTTGAGGCGAATTAATTACGTTTCTAATCAAGACAAATAATTAATTTAGTAAATCTTAATTAAAAATAAGAAAATACACAAATTTATGTATCTTCTGCTTGTATCAATAACGATTATACTGATAAGAAATAATTTGTAATTCCTGAACGAAAGGCAGATCTTTTAAAGTCACCCCAATACAATTAATAAAATATTCATTATTTTTTAATATAATTATAATTTACTTAATTTTAATCTAAACTGCAAATGCATATTAAATAATTATTTGATGTGCTTATAAGATTTGGAAATTCCGTGGTATTTCTACATCAGCATCAGCCCACGTAAAGTCCACACATTTTAGGCCATAAATGATTCATCCTTGTTGTGAAAAACAACTGAGGGAATACAAATTCTGTTTTTAACTTTTTATTTAGAAAAAAATGCTGCAAATTATACTGTTAACATTATAAATTCGGAGAAAATAATCCCAATGAAGGAAAGAGCTAATAAGCAAAATAAAAATTGCGCTCTTTCATTAAAAAATCTTAAAATTCGTTTTTGAGTATGTCAATGTGAAACACCAAAAAATATTTTCGGATGGGTGACTTTCGTGGTCTTGCCAAGGTTGCAAGGTGATTACAGCCAGGGTATATTATTAGCTTTTTGTTGTGTTTATTGTTTTCCCGATTGCTTCAAAATTTGTTATTTTTTTCTCACAAGAAGACGCTTGCGCAAGGTCACGCGGACCGGGTCACTAAACAGGCAAACTTTCACTTGGCCGATGGTGAATCTACGGAGCTTGAAAGCAAACTTATTTGCGGCGATACTGTGATTTGAAGTATTCATGAATATCAATCAACTCAATTTGAATTATTTGTCAACGAGTCTGGCCAAATGTGACACTTGACCGCGAGAGCAAATTGTCACCCAAGAGAATTCACATTGCAAAGCACGCGCAAGCCAGTCATCGATATTAATAATACTATTATTTACATTGATATGTTTCTTCAAACATTCTTTCATATACTAGAACAAGAGATTTGTTTTCTTCTGAAAATCTATTTTGCCTTTCGTGCACAACTGTAAATAATATTGAGACCACGAATACGGGACTTTCGAATCTGCGCCTGATTTATGTACATGAGTGAGATGCCAATAATTAATGATTTTTTAAATGTTTGGTTAACAATATTGTTTACTATAAAATAACGCAGAGAGAAGAAAAAGAAATGAAAGAAGAAAGAATATTATTTGTGTGAAAAAAATATTTTTACTAACGAGGAATAAAAAAATTATCTTTATAAAAATTAACAGCCTGGATTAAAAAACCTCTTCATTTTTATTTAATATAGAAAAAATTGCGTGGGCGATGCTCAACTAATTTTAATAAAAAAAAAATCACTATAATACCTGATCCAAAGGTAATCCACAGTAATGTGAGAGTGGTGCCAATAGTTTGCTACCAGAATATTCAGGTGTAAAAGCTGCCTCGGCCATTATGTATTTCAGTTGCTTGCTGAAAATTCCAAAATCTGCCTTCCTCCGTTCTCCGACAGGCCGGCGAGGTTTACACCATTATGCGCTGTCAAAGGATTCGCCCGCGCGAGAATGCAGGGCAAAGCTTCTGAGGACGTCAGTTTATGAATGTATCGCACCCCACCGCCTCTTCTACCTCTCGTGCTCTTCCTGAAGCAGGTAAAGACACACAGATGCGCTAAGGATATGATCGAATTCACATCTTTTTCCTTACAATCTGCGAGGAAGCAAGTGAATCGGGACCGCTTGCAAACTTCTTGCTTCTCTCTCTCTCTCTGTCTGTTTTGGCAAAAAAGTGCACAGCGCCGGGGTGGAGAACGGGCCTGCGGGTGGTGTGAGCTACGTGGGCGTGTTACCATTCCCCTCACGTGGTCCACAAAACAAATTTCCCCTCTTTTCCACCGGGGGCACATCAACAAAGCTTTTGGGTGGCCATAACAAGACGCCTCTGCCACCTGCTGGTCAAAACTCGAGCTCATGCGTTTTGCAAACCAATGACGACGCAGTATGGCAATTTACTGGATTTTGATTGGTCTGACCGGTGTCGGCCATGTTTTATGGCGTTGTGACGGAACTTCGTAGAATTCAGCGCTGCACGTTTCGCGGTCTTTTTCCAGATTTTTTCGCAAAGTTTGTCGGCAAAACCGAGTGGATTTACGTCGTGCGCCGCTGTCCCGACGGCGATTCCGTCTTCAGGAGCAGCCGGCGTGCCTCCGGGTAAGCAAATGGGTCTGGTTATTGCTGTAAAAACAATTTGCTGCGAGTTGCACTCCGGGATGCGGCTAGCGACGCTTCCTCTCAAATTTGGGGCAATTCGGGGTCAGGAACCGAAAAAGGTTTGCGACTCGCACGTAAAAATGCAACCGATCCTTCTTGATCGTAAATTTTAAATTTATTTTACTTGTGACATAAGTCTAAGATCATTTTCACGTGGTTGTTGTTATGTATACATATAGCAACCACATGTTTGTGGCCATGCTCAAATTTTGATTTAACATGCAAATGAAATGAAATCAAAGATATTATTTATTTATTTCGACACCAATCATGAAAAGCTATGGTTTTAACAGCAAAGAAAATTGTTACTAGTCATACTTTATCACGTGCATCTGTTTGAATGACAGGTGGGCGATGAAGTTAATCTAAATACATAACAATTTAACTAAACACTTTCTTGCTGTAGAGACACTTGCTTTAGAGAGCGCGAGCTGGTCATATAGTTTTAGTTTTGCATCTCGTTGTATTATAGTCACATAATAATGTATTTATTTAAATTGTTTACAGTCTTGAAATTTGAAAATGCCAGGATTAGGGCAGTTCCAGTTCATGCCCAAGGTAATTTATTATTGAAGAAAAAAATTTTAATATATTAATCTGTAAAACATTTTTAGCAATCAGTTTTTCGGTCCAGTGAAAACCAGACGAGGGTCAAACCTCTTTTGGAGTCAAACGTTCCCAGCGCTAACAAAGTGTAAGCTCATTTTTTGTCATGCCCTCTGCTCAAATTATTATTATTATCGTTAAAAAGAATTTTATAAATTAATTTTTCTTGCAGAGGGAGACATGTGTTGGGAAATCCATCACCTATCATGAAAAGGGAACCAAACTTTTCTTCCAGAGGCCAGCAAATGATATCCGCTCTAAGTGAAAGCAAAAAGAAGATCACAATTTCTACAAGGGAAGATTTTTACGATCCAGTAGGAAAGCCTCTTGAGAAAATTTCCACTGATAGGCCATTTGCCCATCTTCCTGCAATCTCAGTGACTGTTGTTTCTCCACCCAAGAGAAATCAATCTTCATGTGGGAGGCAGTTAGAGTTCGAACGTCCACAAGCACAGAAGGTCAGCAAAAGCTTCTTTAGTGACGATGAGGAGATGCCTCTAGCCAAGAAGTTTAAGGGAGATGATCAAAAACAACACATGACTGAACCGCATCTGATAGGGTATTAATATTAAATCCGTCAAAGTTCAACATATTTGCGTTATTATTGATAGAAAACGTTATAGATTATTATTTGTAATAGCTTTTTATTTAACAATTGATCTCAGTTTCAGAAACCAAGGTGCTACATGTTATATGAACAGTGTTCTACAAGTGCTCACTGGACTTGAGCAATTCTATGCTGACGTTCTTGAAGAACTCCCCATGATGAGCTCCCAGCTTTGTCCCCTGCAGTCTCTCTTCAGAGCACGAGATGCTGGCAACGTAGACCTCGTATACCTGTGCTTGAAGGAGCTGCACTCTCGATTTGCCTATGAAGTGAACAAGTCATTTCAAAACAATTTTGAGCAGCAGGACCTGGACGAGTTCATGACTTTTTATCTAGAAAAAATTGACTCCCAAATTCTGCAGAAGCGCAAGGAGCTTGAGTATGCAAATCCTAGTCCAACCCTTGTGGAGAAGAATTTTACCTTGAAAGAAGTTGAGAGAAGGGTATGCAGCAAGTAAGTTTGCACCAGTATAAAATTTTTGTAGAATTTGTTTTAATTTTTGTGTCCTTCAAGATGCCAGAATGAAGTGTCCAGCAAACAGTGCAACAATTTATTCAGAGTGTCTTTGACACAGGACCACGTTAATGCATCACATACAAACAAGATGTCTGTTCAGGATTTGGTTGAATCCACATTGAATGGACCGTGGGATGAATGTTGTAGCTGCAGGGAAAACAACTCTGTGAGAACTTTAAAAAAGTTAACCAGCCTTCCAAGGTGAGCAATTTCAATTTGCAAATTAAAAATGTTTACCATCTGAATTTTGGAAACTTAGAACTCTTCTGGTCATTTTGATGAGATACAACAACCAAGGACAAAAATTGGAAACGCCAGTGACAATCAGTCCGTACCTCAATCTGGAAAATTACATATCTGCGGATTGCTCAGCACCTATACAATCATTTGTTTGCAAAAAAAGCAGCCTGCAAGAATTTGAAAGTGTTGCTGTTCAAACTGACCCGGAGATGATCGAAATAGAGAACCCTGACACTCCTGAAACTGACAACGAAGACTCTGCTCTGAAAGAGGCCCTGAGTGCAAGCTTGAGAGAGCAACAGCCTTTGGATGAAGAAGAGGAGATAAAGAGAGCTATGGCTGAGAGTTTAGCAGAGTCTGATCCATTCAAAGTATATATAATAATTTTATTCCCATGAATTATTTCTTACTGTGGAATTATTAGCGGAAGCCTTGCTCTAATGTAGTCTACAAGCTGAAAGCAGTTGTCAGTCACTATGGCGACACTCCTCATTCAGGTTAGGAACTTTTAAGTGATTTTATTTTTTATACTCGAACACTTCAATTGCAGGACACTACAAGTGTGATGTGTTCCGGAGTGAAAAATCCAAATGGTACAACTACAATGACATTTGTGTAGAAGACAAAACCACTATTGAAGTGCTGCAGGGTGGTGAAGAAAACTGCTACCTTCTTGTCTACGATTTTGAGTAATTTGAATAGTTATCAATTGGGATGGATAAGTAATTTCATTTTCAGTGGTGACAGTAATGCTATCAACAATCGGTCAATCAAATGCGAGAAATCCGATGATATCAGCTGCGAGGATCCTTTTGATGAGAAAGAGAACACGCAATTTGACGAATCTGCAAATTCTTTTGTTGGAGGAAAGATCGGCGAGATATAGAATATTAATGTTTGTAAAATGAAGACTTTTGTTCCTTAAATATTTATTAAAAAAACTATTTGAAACAAGCTTTGTATATTTATGGATAAATTGTAAATTAATGATATTTTACGATAATAAAAGCTGTAGAATAATATTTTTGTCTTAATTTTATTTATTTTCTCCATCAAGATAAGATACATATTATCATTAACTTTCAAAGGCAGTGGAAGAACATTCTCTTGTCAGAAAGATCTTAAAATTTGTAAAGTATTCAATAAGGAACTACGGTTTAAAAGCAGATCTGATTAAATTCGCAACATTTCTCACTAGGTCAATACAGTGCTTTGACCATGTGGCTTGATTTTTCTCAATGATCAACTCTTCAGCCTCTTTCTCTTCAGTAGATTTGTCAGTTTTCTCAGAGAAAAGGCACTTGGCCTCTTCTTTTGACTCCACCTTAAATGACTATAAGTGAAACAGCTCAAAAAGCTTTTCTAATGAACCCACCTTTGACCAATCAAAAGCATTCTTCTTTTTCGAAGAGAAGCAAGAGGGAGAGGAATTGAGGGTTTTGTGAGCCTTGAGAGCTTGTTGCTTTCTCAATGGGTACAGACTGTCCTTGGGAGGACTTGGTGTTAAGCGTGAAAGGTAGCGAGCGCTCGAACGGAACTTCTTACTGTTCAAAGAAGTTGTTGAGCTACTCGGAGAGGATTGCTTTCTTTTACGCAGGGTACGCGTAAATAGGTTAGAAGATGGGGCTGCACCTTCCTCTAGGTCCTCAATGCGCTTAGGCAACCTTTTTTTGCTGGTGTGCTTTTTCAGCGTCTGTCTGCAAGCCTTCAACTGAAAATTTTAAATTCAATGGGGAAATTTGTGAGTTTTTTTATAATGATTTCTATCACAAACCTCATTTATTGTTTTCTGCATAAGCCCCGTCCACAGTTCACCATCATCCTGGTTTTTAGCAAAAAGAAGGAGTGTCTCTGTGCCACAAGAGATCTTAAACACAGCCTGTCCCAAAACATTTTCGATGCTCGATCTGTCGAGAGGGAAGGCATATCGACAATCAAGTTGTCCAGATCGAACTCGGCAGCAGAGAAACATGTCAGATAATAAAATCAAATGCACCTGCACAGCCTTTGTGCCGCATTTGGCAACCTGAAAATGGCAAATAGTATAATTAATTGACAAACTAAATCAATTAATATCAAATATAAAAGAAAGAATTTTAAGCAGAGGTGATAGGTACCTTCATGAAAGAACCCTCCTTTAAAAATGTTCTTCCTGGTTTGATGACTTGAGGCCAGTTATCAAGCAGGCTCTCTTGTAGATCAAATAGTCGTTGAAGTTGCTCTTGTTCGGATAAGAGAGCATCAACATGTGCAGCACTGACTTCCACACCTTTTAGGGCCTCTAAATTTGCAAAATAATTTTAGTAAAGATTCTAGAAATTATAAAAATAGAAATTAACCTTGAAGAGTTTCCAAGTTCTGATCATCATCTGCAGTGTGCGAGGCCACTTCCTTTAGTAAGAGCCTGTAGCGTGGCAATCTTTGCACTGGTGCAATCAGAAGAGCCTGCAGAGTGCACCCAACCTCTGGTCTTGACTCTTGGCCTTGCAGAAAAGTATGGAGGGCGAGACCGTGTTTTCCAGAACGAAGATTCTAAAAAAACTAATGTTGTAATTTAACAGTAATTTTTAACTTAATTTAGCATGCCTGGAGAGTTTCCGATGCCTTTTGATAGCCACAAGCATACACAGAGTACATTTTCAAGAATGGTGCTAATCTCACAAAAGCCGGAGCCAAGTTGTCATTTTTGCAAGCTTGCAGCTCTGCAACTAAAGCTCCAGCAACTCTATAGACAGTCTCGATCTGGCCAAATATTGTTGCAAAATTCTCAGAAGACATCAGTTCTCGTTGTTTGATTGGTTCCATGAAAAACTAAAAAATAATCCTCATGATAATTAAATGAAAAATTAACATTTTATGCGGCACAAAAATTTAAAAAAAGACAAACCTTCATAACATTTTCAAGTTGCTTCACGTAGCTCAATTCAGAGGACAGAATTTCTTGTGTGGCTCTTGATCTCAGAGATGAATGAAGTGCTTCATGTCCATTTATTTCACTCAATGCACTGATCACTAAACACAAAAAGTCCAATCATTTTCATGTCAACTTCATGAAACTTAAAACTTTCCAGATTAAGGCCAACGTAATTCATAACAAGTTATGTACATTCATAATTTGAATTTGCAATACGTACCCTTGCACCTTGCGTCTGTGTTGAGCAAATTTTTTTCCTCAATCACTTGCTGTAATTCCAGACTCAGAGGCCTTTGTCTGGCTGGCGTACGAGTGACGGTTTCGTTGAGATTCAAACTCATCTTCAGTTCAGAAGGACCTAATGATCCAATTCAGTCAGCGTCAGGTCCTAAAGGTCGACGAGGAAACTAGCCCTTTGCACACAACACGACCGGGCATGACCAGTCAAAACAAAAGCACCTGAAAGACATAATTTTTACTCTGAAAAAACTTTTTTTGACAGAGACTGAGTAAAATAGTTACCAGAATTTCGTTTGCTCCTAGATTTGAGGAGCCTTGGTGTCCTAAAGCGACGAAAACTTTGATTGTTTAAAATTTTCAATGGCGGTGTCAACGTTTAGACCCCTCGGTTGTTGTGCATTTTAAATAACGACGTGCCCCGCGGGCTTGGAGGGAAAACGAGTTTTGTGAACGGACGATCCTGCCATCTGGTATCAGAGACCCCCAGTATTTCTCCCACTGCTGTCGGCGGCGCGAAAACCAGAAGCAAAAAAAAAACAATTTCTATGCTGCTGGTTTCTCGCGATATCATAATTTTAATGGTTTTTATTTTATATAATGGCTGGCATTTTTTTTCTCATAACTAATAGTTGACTTGACTTTTTATGCGCTATAGATAATGGGGGAAAAGATACCGAGAAAATAACTGTTTTGACAATATCAGTACATTTTTTGGTCTTGTCAGAGAAACAATTGAATATATTTTCCTGTAAAGCATAAATATTTAATATATCATGTAAAATTATTCAAAAATATTGTTATATTTTCACCATAAGCAACCATCTACTATTTTCTTACGCGGTGAAAATTTTTGATCAGTAAAAACTGAAGTCTTTTGTATTGTTTAAATCGTTTAAATATTAATATTTTACCTGATATATTTGAATATTTTTCAGAATTATATATTTCAATTCATGTTAATTATATTTAAATAGCAAGTAAAACAGTTGCATTTATTTTCTAGCTATTAAAACATTTTTTCCTCTTTGAGCTGCACTAACGTATCTGTTATTTGAATTGTAACTTTTAAATTATTCTTTTAATATACTAAATATAAAATTACCTCCAAAAAAAAGATGGCAGCTTTGCCTTCTGTAAGCTCATAAGGGTACAGGCCGATAATACACTTTATCAGTCAAGGCCTGACAAAAAAATATTCAAATATTAACAATTTAAAATTTTTTTTAGAAGGAAAACTTATTTTCTTGCCATTGTCATATTTGTATAGATTTCTTTCAATTTTTTAGTAAACATCTCAACTTCAACTAAATTATTGAATTTTCCACAATAATCCAGACTTATTGTGTTTCATTTTCCTCTAAAAAAGCAGTACATAGAAAAATAACATAAATACACACTTCAGCATCGCACACTATCCAGGATAAATTAATATGAACAAAATTTCAAAAATTTTGTAGTTTCCTCGTCGTAATTCAAACTTCATTATTATATCGATTCTTCATCTCTTCAAACGTATTTTTCTTTAATTATTAGGAAAATTTGAAGTTGGCTTTTAATTCAAAATACTCCCCGCTCTGATTTAAAATATTTTTATTATTTGTTTTACTAAAATTATTTTCGTTGAGCGAGGCTTCGATTTTTAATTTTTACAATATATTAATATTAAGTGTATTGCAAAAGAATTTTGGGAAACGTTTGGCCACACACGGGCTTAATTTGCTCCATCACAGCTTGGTCTTCCATCTTTATTTCGAGGGCAGATATCACCGTATTGCAAGCTAGCGGAGCGGACTGTGGCGGATAGCCATGTGTTAGACTGAATTGTTGCGTATATGAATTTGTTGTTGTTGATCTGTGGAACTGAAATAGAACCACCTTAAAAAAGTATAAGCATAGGGAAAATTTTAGATTTCTTATTAAGAATTAGCCTTCACATAGAAACGTTTTTGCAATCTGTATGCAAATTTTTGTTCACACCCAACTTAATTTTGGGTTGGTTCAGCTAGCGGCACAGTTTTTTCCACTCCTTTCAAGTGGTGAAGACCTGGCCGTGTTTATTCAAAGCAAGCTAGGATTCTCTCTGCATTTCAACCAACAGGGCCCTATACACGCTGTCTAAAGTAAATTCCACTGAAAAACAAGCCAACAACTTTTCGCCGCTCCCTTTTTCCGGTGCGGGAGTCCAGGGAAAAGTTTGCTCTTAAACAAGATGCAATCCAACCACTTAGACCTTCCGTTTGTGTGCTTTTCCTCCTGTTCGGACCTTAAGAGGTTCCGGCCATTGCTTTATCATTTTCAATTCCAGCACAATACAAAATGCGATCCATTGCACCGCCGCTCTGGCTCTCTCTTTATGACCAACTCTATAAAATATATATAAAAATAAAATACGTCTGCTTTTGCTGCTGATCACTCTCGGCGCTGCACAACGGGGTTGGAAAATAAAATTATACTCTCTGCCAGATGAGAAATAAAATTACATGTCACATATCCTCGGAAGAAAAAGGATCGCTCGAGTTGACCGGCTCTGCTGGAATATCGGCGCAGAGGCGACTGTTGTTTTGTTTAGTCAGGATTGGTAAATTTACCGCCCAAATGCTATTATGAGTACGATGATTTTTGTAATATTGTTTGGGGGGCGAATACACATGAAAGCTTGGATGGTGCGGTTTTTTCTCAGGCAAATAAAATGATGAATGTGGCAAATCCTTGGCAACACGATGGAGTGTTTTGGCCAAAAATTAAGATTTTACTGTCCTAACTATCAAACAATAAATTTTGGAATTGCATTTTATCACGCGGTGGCCGATTTCTTTTTGATGTCGGGCGTTTTAGCAAACCTCTGCTAGTTGTGATACCCTTTCTGCTCATTTTTCCCAATTCAATTTTTTTCATGTATGACTTGAGTAGAATAAAAAACAATAATAATTTAATTTACATCCAACTAATTGATGAAAGATCGGGAAATTAAATTGAAACGAAAATTTAATCAAGAATCAGAGTTTCAGTTTTTACTTCAATCGTTAAATATTTGCTTCCTATATTATTAAAGTTTTTTTTTTAATTTGCTACCTTTTACTTTTTCCATTATTATACTGTTTTTTATTCGCGTCAATTATACACTTTTCTTTGGTCTTATTGTGTCAGAGCAATTGATGAAAATTAATTCAAAAAGGTAAACAGAAAATATTTTACAGTACAACATTAAAAATGTGTTCTTAGTCTTTGTTGAAATGGACGGACAAAAAAACCATTTGTGTGCAAGTACTTTTTTTGCTTTTATTAGTAACACAATAAATTAATTTATAGTCTTTTTAAAAACGTAGACCCGAAATATCAAACCCCAAACTTATGTTTTAACCATATAAATAAAGTGTGTATTTATTTATTTTATATTATATATTTTTCAAATATAAAATTAATTAATTTAAAATTACAAAAAAAAAATATTTAGCTAAAAGCCAAAGTACAAACGTGTTATATAAATCAGAGTGTAACTCATGACGGATTTAGCTATTATTTTTTAATATTTTGGTGATTCCAAAAGTCAAACTTGAAAATATTTGAAATTAAAATAAAATTTAGCTATGGGTGCAGTTTATCTGTGACGTGGCAAAGTTCATTCTGGTCGCAAACAACAACGACTGCGTGAGAGTGAATGTGCGGTCGACCCCTAATATTCGGCAATTACTCAACCAAATGAAATATTGCGCGGCACGCATGTGTGCCCGCGCGCAGAATAATTACAATAATGAGAGTATCACGCCCGCTCTCGAATTTAACAACTTCATTAGCGCGTTGCCCCATCAGCATAAATTCGGTCCGCGGGGCTGAGAAGGACAGCTGTCATGCGCCGCCAGAGCATCATTATTCTGCACCAATCGAATCTGAATTACAGCTAATGATATTACTGACCAATCTGCATGCCAAACCTAATCTCGTCGGGATTAACCAAATCCGCGAAATTCCTCTTGGCATTTCGCAAGAAAGGAATGCGACAACAAAAAGCATACGTTTGTGGAATTTTTTAATTAAACGCGCGTGCGTTTTAATTTTTGTCTTTTTTGTTTGAGTCGCGAGAATTAACGCTCTCGTGTGTACCTCGGTAATTAAAATCAAAAGCGAATCTGCCCGACAGTTTTTTTTTCGTTTTCGTTTTATTCTCAGCTCTGTGCGGACGCTCTTCCTGCTAATGACCAAAGCAAACCATTCATTTGTTCAGCGCTGCCGAGCACGGATTGGAAAATCTGTATGCGTCGCGCGCCTCTGAATGAAAGAGCCTCTCTTCAACTCTCTCTCGCTCGGCGCCTTTCTTGCTACGTGTAAAAAGGGTTAAGAGCATTGCCACCGCCGCTTCTCTCGCTGACACCTACCCCACAGCCTGTGCAACCGTGAAATTTTTATGAGTCCGCAGGTCTGGAAATCGTGTATTTTATGGGAAACGGATGAGATAGGTTCTTAAGAAGTAGAGTATTCCAGATTTTTCCATAAGTGCGCAAATATACATATGATCTTTTCTATATTATCGAAATTACACAAAATTCTGTAATATTAACTAATGAAAAAAAAAACAGTTTCTCCACTTCTATTTGTTGAAATTATACATATTAGAGCATTAGGGGTGAAAAACAGGCAAAACGAGAAATATAATATTAATAGAAAATTTTATTATATTGAGAAGAACTAATAATTATTGATCTCACAGTTTACCTCTTTCAAATATTAAAAAATTAAAAAAATTAAAAAATTGGCTGAATCCCAATAAAAAATAAATAATATTTATAAGTTTTGATTTTGTATTTAAATAATTTCAAAACATCAAAGCACAGCTCGTTTGAATTACAACTGACAAAAAATTAATTAAATTTGAAAAATATTTTTTATAACTTTGGTGTGATAGGAAAAACGTTGTGTCGTTGTGTGTTGTTTATATTTGAAACTTGCAAAACCATTAAAAATTCCAATCTTCGTGCTACAGAATATAAGAATATTATCATAAAACCTTACTTGCCCATATCAACCCTTTTTGTGTGCTTAATCTGCTGGAAAAGCACGACTTTGCAATATTTGATTGATTCGAAACCACCAAAGTCTGTCTGTCAGCCGAGCCAATTCAAATCCACACAATCAATTCTATGGCTCTCGTGTGCAGCAGATACGAAAATATCCCTCTATGCCAAAAATATTCACCCACACACGTTTTTAACCCTTCAACGGTGAGCAAAGAATGAAACGTGCGGCGGATTCATTGTGCAGGTGCTCTTTCAGCTCTCTGAATCAAATCGAGAGACTGGCAACAAGAGAGGGAAAAACGCGGCCACTCTTTACAATCAGCCTCTCCAACACAGAGAGAGCAAAAAAGACGAGCAAAGGCGGCATTAAAGAGTACGTAGTCCGAAGAAGGCGCTCCGCAGGGAGCAGATAGCCCACAACAAGTGGTCAATGAGGACACTCTGAGTGGGAGGCAATGTCTCTCGACTTGATTTTGTCTCCAGCAGCGTCTTCTTGTTCGCGTTGTTTACATTACTTAAATTACGCCGCACTTGTCTCGAGAGGACAGGTAGTTATTCGAAGTCATAACCAGAGACGAATAAATAAATGGAAGCCTAAAAAATGTTAAATAAAACCAATATATTGTCAAATAAGGGGAGAATTTTACAAACAAAAGTAAAAATTTTGTAAATCAGAGCAAATGGCCTACATCAAAAGAAAATCAGCTAACAAAAATCTACATTTTAAATTTTCAAATAAGTGTGAAGTATTTCTTTCAAGCCAAAATGTACCAAATATCAATATCATCAATTAGGCGTTAGATAAAGCCTTCAAAATTTGCGCTACATTTTGTGATTAATATTTTCGATGATATAAATTTTGCAAAAGTAATTTAAATAATTTAATATACATGGCTTAATTAATGACGACTTTTAAATCTTGAAATTTCTGAATTAAAAACATGTTATGGCGTTTATGTTCACGCAAAGAAGAATTGATACCGTTTTTTCTTTTCTTAGTTATTAATTTGATTTAAAATTTTTGATTTCTAGATGTTTGCAATAAAGGAAATAAATAATTCAAGCGAGAGCTATAAGAGCGGAATAGAGAAAACAGAGTAACAGTGATTTTTCTCCAATACTTTTTCCAAGCATTGTTAGCAAATTCTCCACGAGTGGAATAGATTTGCCGCGGACGTTAATCCCGCAGTGCTTCGTCGTGAAAACATGCTGTTCCCGTTCGCACCCAGTTTTACTCTCAATGTCTGTGCGAGTTTGCAGTGGCCGCAACCTGCGCAACACTTGAATCGTGCAAGTTGCATAGTGCGGACTTATCAAGGCGATTCGCCCTTTAATGAGCTCGGTGCTGAATGTTTTAAGTCCGCCGCAAAGTTTTGCAGTTCGGACGGACATACGGTTGCGACTCGAATTTCCATTTTCCAGCTGCTGAGCGAAATCAATATCCTGGGTCGGCAGCCACAGCGATACAGAAGCTAGTTATGCACGCAGCTGCCGGTCAACGTGTTTTTTGCCATTGATACTTGATTATAATTACCAGCAGTGCGGAGATTGCTGTGTATTTTAAAAAAATAAAGCGATGGCTCGAAAGGCTACTTTTTGCCAGAATCAATTTGTTGATTCGACGGGGGGAGGGGAAAATAAAAAAGTTTGTGCGAAATCTCAACGCTTGTTTTTTCCGTCACAAAACAACTGGCTGTCAAGTTTGCATGTAGTCTTGAGAAAAAATTTTCATATCAGTCACCCACTGTGGAGGGGCAAAAAAGCAACGAGACTGCTCGTCTCTCACTTTCGGGTCACCACATTTTGTCAGGAAACTGCAAAACTAAAATATCATGAAAAGTTTGTGACGAGAATTAAATGTCAGGAAATTAATTGTTAATTATAAATATGAGTGTACCTAATTTTAAGATGCTCAAATGAGGTGTATTTTAATCAAATATTAACGTGTAAAAAATTAACTTTCTGAACAAAGCCAGTGTTCATAAAAACATGTAACCAAAATATTGGAGACTAAAGTTTGGGTTGGTTTTTGAAGTGAAAAAAAAAATAGTAAACGGGGATAATTTACAGCGTCACATGGCAATTTCTCGCATGTTGAGGGCTGAGGGTATAGGGTTGACATTATGTGACATTTCTGCCAATTAATTTTCTCATAAAACATTCATTAGTCTTCCATTGTTCTGACAATGCACTTTCTGAGAAAATGTGGGACCCCCTCACTTTCTTTTGGGAGCAGAGCGAGTTGGCTCGACCGCAGCCGGAGCTGATTCGGGTTGACGTGGCAAAAACAAACATTTTGCAAGCTGAAAATGAAATTCATGCTCCAAGAAATAATAAGATTAGATGGCCATGTGTGAATGAGATAACTGGCGAAAATGAGATAGAGACGCAATCTCTCCTCTCGGCGTTATATACAATAATATGCTCTCGCACAAGTAATTAAATGGAAAGCTTACAAAGCATTTTGGCTTACATTCTGCGGCGGGATGCTGCGCCTGACAGACGGATGAAATGAGATCAAAAGTGGAACCGCCGCGTCATTCGCAACCCCTTCTATGTGCATGCAGTCATTTCTCTCTTTGCCGATATTACTGCTCAACCTCTGCTCTCGCTGCCAATGTGCTGCGAACGGGTGTGATCCACGTTCCTCCGGTGGTGACTGGAGTTCTGGGTGAAACGGATTTGCTGCATTCACACGAGGTACTTGAGGTGAATAGAGCAGAGGAAAACGTTTTCTATTAAATTATTGAGGAAAATATATGCATCGCTTGCTACTTTGTAAGTTGTATGCAAATGAGGTTAGGGAAGCAATTTTTTTTTGCAACTAGAATGGGAAAGCATTGTAAAAAAGTGAATTAATTGAAAGTGTAAATTTGCATTAATTTTATATTTCCATTGTTAAAAGATAAAATAGTAAATGAATTTTTTTATATAATGAATTTTTTTATTGAGACTACTTAGAAAAATATTATTTTATATTATTCAAATTACCTTTTTTGTAACAATAACGCAGCATTATTTAAACTTAAATTTCCATCGATTCCCTAAAGAAGATGCGGTATTTTAAAAATTTTCAAAACCAAAATTGGCTCTCGCGCAAGAAATAAAGGCTCTTCTTCAGTGTAACTAAGAATAAGACTCTTGATTTATATTAAAGTGGAGAAACATGGTACATGGCCTAAATGAACATATCAACAGCACATCAACAGCATGCACACGTATTTAATCTTAATCAAAGTTGCAACGACAGCAGCGGAACTTTGCAATCAAAGGCGCGCGTATTCGAGACGTGCGCAAATTGAAACGCGGTAGCGCAATTAGATTCATTGCCGGGTGAAAAGGGCTGTTTTTGGCGTTCGCCAGCCAACCGCCGCCTTTTGATGAATTATTTATGCCACCGGTACAAACAATAACCGAGACACCCTTTAATTATTCAGGCATAATGTGCCTGGTCGGCGCCGAGAAAGTGCTGCGACGCTGCCGAGGCAAATCGCCTTATCGCTCAGCTAGGCCGCCGCCGCCGCCGTATTCAATTTTGTTTGCATGCAAGCTTCCTTCCCTCCATACATCAACGTCGTTTGATATGTGAAAATATTTGCCCGCGCGAAAAACGTCCCCCGTGTGCAGTGCCGAAGCAATTGTTTACTCCATCGCGAACGACCTGAAATTTCCAATTTTTTTTTCGCTTCAAGATGTTATTTTTCATGATCGGCTGCCGAAAGTGTTTGCCAGGGAAAATTCTAAACTTTAATTTTGAAAAGAGAATATTTTTTACAGTCTGGTATCCAGTTTCCAAACTTCATGTTCCCCTGAAGTTTGGAATAATTGTTTATTAAAGAGCTAGTCTTCTCATTATGAACTAAATTTAAGTATCGGTACAGCTTTGACCTTGAAAATCAGAAAAATTAAAAAATAAATACGACCAAAGATTACATCCAATTTGTGAAACACGCGTTAAATTTCTGTATTCTACTAGCAATAAAGTGCCAAAAGTAATGTGAAGTATGAACGAAATTAGCTGGATTCATACGCTAACAGAGTTTAAATTTTAATTATAATTAAGTTGAAGAAAGTTGGCTTTCAATTGAAGAATCATAAAAAATATTTTTGAGAAAGTTGCTTTTACTAGATTATAAAATTTTTAACCTTTTTTCTAGCTGCAGCCCTATTTGATGAGATAAATATATTAGATTAGTTCCGAAATAAAATTATTTTACAAATTAACAACTGTAAACAAAATCACGTGTACTGATGAGCTTCGAAAAATAGAAGAATGATTTTGGGGAAAGTTTCATTGAGCTCTTTTTATTAAAAAAATTAATAAATAATTAAATAAACTATTTCTTATCAATCATGATCCCAGTTGAATAGTTAATAAATATTATTATTTTATGTATTTTATATAAAGTACATTTGTTTAATTATTAAAAAATTATTTTGTAATTTTCTTATAAATCTAATTTTAATAAGTGCGTTTAGGAATTTTAAATGAAACCATTTTTAAAAATGTCTACCATATATATGAATAAGTGAGTGAGAAATTAAATTTAAACCACGCTGGTAACGTTTTTATATCCTATATTTATTACATGATATATTATGCCAAATAACATGTGTACTTGCCATTGGAATTGGAGAAATAAGCGATGATAGGGAAAGAAATCATATTTATCGCTAGAGTTACATCATATAATTCTAAAGATTGCAGAAAGAGCTTTCTTGGAAGCACTCCTTATTTCAATGGGAGATAAATGTATTATTAATAAATTTGCATTCCTCTCCTGGAGGAACAAAACGTGCCAATTGTGCTCATTGCTATTCTACCTGTGTGCAGCGAGCACCAACTGGCCTTGTACATTTTGCCATTATTGATGCAGCAGGCAAAGGGTTTCCTCTCTCTGGTGCGCTGCGAAATATGATAAAAATCCGCTCAGACATAATGGGTACATGTTTAACAGAAGAGAAACGCGTGCAAAACATCAAAGCACTCTTCGCCCACTTTTGCTGCTGCTGCTGCTCGATTTTCATTTTCCGCGTGCGACACTTTGACGTGACTTGCTGCTCATAATGATCTAGCCAGCCGAGTTCTCAAAGAAACCCTCTTAATTTGGACCACGCATGTTGTAATAAAGCTGCTGACTGCTCTACTTTTTGCAGTGCTGACGGCTTTTTGAATTTGCACACCTCTTGTGTCGTGTTTTTTTGCCAAGTGTGAAAAAACTGGTGGTGTTTTGAGGTGAAGTCTTAAAATTTTTAATTTATAATTTCAACATGTTGACTTTCAAGTCTCGTTTTAACGTGAAAATTAATTCATGAAAGGAAATTTAATATTGATTAATCAATTAATTAGAGCAAATTATTTACAAATAGTCTATGGACAAAAATTTCTACAAGCTAAGCTGAATACATTTCGCAGAAATGGATGGAGCATATACATATTATAAATTTGTTGGCATGCCTCTAAGATCAAAAGAAGGCCTGAATTGCCGTATCAGAGATTTTTAAATCACTTATTTTAGTGAAAAATGAAATTGGATATTTTCATTAATTTAAGACTTACTAAAAAAAATAATGCCCTTCCCCCATAAAATCAAATATCCTCTAATACTCTTTCCTTAAAAAAAGCCACGTCATCAGAAAAATCGTCATATCACGACACACTTCATTTATAAAAAAAAAAAATCAATAGCTTTCCAAATAATGATTTTATATTTGAATTTAATTTAAAAATATATAATTTTTTTAGTATGGTTTTTTACTTAAAAAATATATTGTAAGTATGCGTAATACTAACTTTGTATCTTGAAATTTCATTATTAAATTATTTTTACATGCAATCTCGGTAAAATGAGTTTAATTGTTTTTACAAACTGTGTATCATCAAATAAACTCTATTAACTCTAAATTTATTGGAACATAAATACACACGCACATTTATAACGATCTAGGAAAGGGAAAAACTTTGATTTTGGAATTATTTTTCCCTTGATTATAAATTAAATTTTACAATTAGAACCATATTTTCACTAAAAATTAAATTTAATTAAATACCAATATATTTAAACAACTCTTCGATGACATTTTCGATACTATTCTTAAAAGAGTTGCTCATTTCCATACCCCGCAAAACAGGCGCGCCTCTGCTCTTTAGGAAATCGTCCACCACGTCAAAGTCATGTTCGCCCTCGGCAGCTTGGGGCATGTTCTTTTCCCTCGCGCCAGGGGGCATTTGGTTCATGGGCACGTATCCTGCGGCCGCCACAAGTCCGACCAGCCAAAACTCCTCCGCAAGTCTTTGGAAAGTGGGCAAATCGGCCATTTCTTCCGGCAAAAGACAAGCGGCGTCTCGAAACAAGGCCCCCAACGCTTTCCAATAGTCCGATATCAGCCGGTCCATCACTTGGGCACGCACTTGGCGGTCGCAATTCAAGAAAAGGAACATGAGCACGTCCGTGACCGGCGGAGCCAATCGGTACACTTGCATGTCGATAATGCGCACGTCCGTCGCCTCACAGCCCGAGTACTTGAACATCAGGTTGTTGTTCCAAATGTCACCGTGACAAACGCAGTTGCGATATTTGCCAGACGGGCGAAATAAAAGTCTTGCCTCCTCAAAAGCTCGCGCCAATTTATGCTCATTTTTTCCGATACGATCAGCAAACTTCTCCGAACTCTTTGCCACGTCAATTATCGTGTCGATGCTCGATTGGAGCCACTTGTACGCAGGATTTTCCTCGTCCAGGGTCCAGAGGGCCTCGTCATGGAACTGGCAGAACTGCTTCAGGTCAATGCCTGATTTCTCTTCGGCAATCAAAGAAGCGGCGTGCAATTTGGCCAACGCTGGCATCACCAGGAACAATTCTCTCTCGTTCATGAACTCCAACCGGTCCCTGGTGATGAAACCCTGAACCTGCAGATCTTCCATAATTACTAGGCTATTGACAAATTTGTCCTCGTCGAACCGCGAGAAGTAACATTTGGGCACCGGAACTTCAAAAGTAACGTGTTTCTGGAAAAAGGGCAGCAGTTTTTGGAAGAATTCGTTTTCCTTGTGCAAAAGTTTGGTGCCTTTTATGTAGGCGACGTGGTGCCGACTGGGAGGCACACCCTTGGCGAAACAAGACAACGTCAACGCCTGCTCATTATTTTTCTGTGAATAATCAATTAAGACGGTGTAGTAGAGGCCATTGAATCCGTTGGGCGAGTTGGAAACCAATCGATAACTAATTAAGTTGACATCTCTGGAGCCTTTGAGCGCGCCAGCCAATACGGCCCTAATATCCTCAGCACTTGTTAGCTCCATCGGCGGGCTTAGTGCTTTTTCTCGCGAAACCCACTGTGGCACACGAGAAATGGAGAGCGACGTTTTAAAACACAGCACGCGCAAGTTTCCGCCGCACCACTGACAGCCGTAAAGAGATTGTGTTTAATCGGCGTGGCGACGACCTTCGCGGCCCCCTCCCGCTTTGATGAGAGACAAGAATGGAATGGGCCATATTGTTGGGAGGTAGCTCATTAAAAGCAGATGACGAACATTGATTTTTGTTTCTTGCTTATTATCACAGCATTCACTTCACATCACAGAACGCTGTGAGAAAGACTCCTGTACTTTTTCACAAATGAAAAATGCTAAAAAGGGTCATTTTCGCAGGAAGAAAAAAAATTAGAAGCTTCGGCTTTCTTTTGACAAAAAAATTTAAAAAGGCAATATTATCACCCTATATCATAAGAAGAAAATCAAAATATTAAAAAACCTAAATTTTTAAATTATAAAACATTTTGTATGTTTAAAATAAATGGTATTTTGTAATTGGTTGGTGATTTCAAAACTAAAAAATTCATTTTAAGTAAATTCAATATTTCCAAAATTTTATCTTTGCCTTTAAATTTTACAGTTATTTGAGAAACATCTTATTTATTTGCAATTTGCATAACAAAAAATGCAATATAAATTCCAGGTTTATTATTTTTTTTTCATTATATCTTAATTAAATGTGTAAATGTTTTTCTTGTTAAAGTTGGATTTATTGTCACCTATGGAAATTCCACCACCTTCTTCCACGATAAATCTCTTCTTATCTGTTTAGCTTAAAAAAAATTCCTATTTCATTAAATTACTTTTTAAGATGCATAGTTTGCACTTAATTCAAGAGCACATTATAAATTTCTAGCTTTTCTTTCTGATTTGCTTGAAAGGCACTTTTTCGTATGTACTGCAACTTCAATCTTACCTACCATAGAGATATTACTGTGCCGCGCGGAGCGGCAAACAAGATAAGGGGCAGTCAAGGTCCTTAAAATTTTGTCTCGCCAGCAGACCGGCCTCCGAGCCCACTCGCTGGCCGTAATGTCTAATATATTGAGCAACACTAGCAGCCGCGCGCACTATGATATTCATATTAAAAGAGGCCTGCGTCTGATAATAAAGAAGCGATGATTTTACGACTCTCTCCGCCAAATGATATCATATAAAAATACTCTTGGTGCGCGCACCGTCTCTCAGCTAATAAGAAAGTAGTGCTCAAAGTTGAGGCAATAAAACTCAACTCGTATTGCTGTCTTGCAGACAAAAATTCTTTAATTAACCATGCAGCAGCAGCAGCTTTATTGCGATATTGTTATTTTATTCCATCTCAGCGCGGCGCTTAATTAAAAATGGATCACTTTAGCTCCTTTCCTCTCCACCAGGAGAATGAATTTCTATCAAAATTATTCTTTCATTACTCACAGCGTAGAGTTTAAGAAAGTTAATAAAGTTGAATTGAATCTAAAGAATGAGAAACTTTGAAGAAAAAGACTCTTAAAAAAAATTCATCAGATATTCTGATATTCTTTTTTTACAGTAAGAAAACAGTTTTTTTTTAACATGCCTCTCTAAACCTGAATTTTCAAATAAAATTCCACTTTTCGTTTATCTTTGTGGCAAAAAAATTTGGCCCCACCAAAATATTTATTTCTTATTTTTAACTCCAAAGTTTTAAACACACAAGTATTTCCATGAACATGCGATCAATGGTTTGAAAGAATAAGACGTTTGATTTTTTTTCTTAATTTAATTCATCACAATAACTTGAGTGTTTTTTAATTTATTTATTTATTATTATTTATAAAGGGAATATGCATGACGGAGAGCTGTGTAAATGATTTGAATATTAATATACTGTTAATATTGTAAGTCAATTATTTGAGATAAAAATTTTAATCACGTTACCCTCATTTTCTCTGATTTTCTCCACATATTTAGAAAAATTTACCTTTCGAACCCATTCTTACTAATTTTTATTTTGTAAATTAGGCAAATAAAAAAGAAAGAAAAAAATATAGAAATTTGCCATAAAGTTTTGTAATTTTTTTCTAAACGTCATTCAAAAGCGTGTCTAATTGTGCAACTTTTGATCTCCACCAAATTAAAATTGTCTTCCAAATTGTCATATTTAATTCTGAAGCTACTTATAAAACTCTTGAAATATTCACAAAAACCATTTTTGCCTTACATTGTATTGTATCTTTATTTATTATTTATTACTTTATTTAAACAAACAATTTGAAATTTTCCTTGAACTCCTTGCTCTTTTTGTGTAGGAATACAAACTAGGTCAACCGGTAGCTGCGTTCCAGAGCTGTAATTTAATTAGCAAGCGCTTGGGCCATTCATCAAGCTGAGATGATCCTTGCTCAGGGAGGCATAAGTGGAAAAAATGGCTTCATGTTTCCTGACAGCTCTGCGTAGCCCATTATATGTTGTGTGTGGTGTTGTCGCGCAGCAGTGATTCAATCTCTGCTAATGCCTACGGCCACTTTTTTCCACAAGGCGCAATTTCCAGCAACCGCCCGCGGCACCGCAGGATTATGTTCCAGACTATCACATTGTATGTATTATTTATGTCGACGACCGTCTCTCACTCTCTTTTGCCGGCGTCGTTTAACAATTTCGAGCATGTGGCTTAAGTAATTAAAAAAGAGCAGGCGGCCTTTTCCGCTCTCAATTAAAATTATACTCAAGAGCGAGTTTTTTTGTGTTTTTCTCAGAGCTGGAAAATTTAAATATCAAGATCTTAATTTAATTTAACGCTCGTGTCTCGTAATTTAATTAAAAGACGGTGATAATTATTGCAGGAAGAGTGTAATTAGAGTGATGCATCGCCATAATCTTACACTCAGTGGAGCACATTACTCTCACGCGAAACAACGCGACGCCACGGGCGAAACGCTCGATTCAGCGGCGCACTTGCAGGAATAATAATTTCAGCTCGGTTTTAGCTCAACTCGACCCCTTTGGTGACTCATAAATTTTCATGATTGCTCAAATTATCTTTGAAACTCTAACATCTAGTGTAATGCGAATTTAACATAAATTAATTAAGCTTATTATTATTAATGGCACGTTCTGAGTATCAGGTTTTAATTCGTGAAAAAAAGAACGTTTATAAATAAATTAATAAAGTAACTATAATTTTAAGAAATATGTTTAAAACGCAATCTGATTTGGTAATAGAATAACATCAGTATTGAGGTTACGATTGAAAATTAAACATCAAAATATTATTAAAAAGAAAAACAATTTTTATTAGAAATTGAACTGAAATATATTTTTTATTGAAAAGGATGCCTTAATTTAATTTTTGAAAGGCAGGTAGTTTTCATTGTCAATGTAATTCTTATCTTAAATTTAATCAATTTCAAATTTTGAAGCATATTAGTTCATACTTCAAAAAATTTTAAATTGCTATAAAAATTAAATAAATAAAAAATGTCAATGAACATACACTGCACACTAGCCACACAATCAAATTATTAATATATGACAAGGAGTTCTTCCCTTCTTCCCTAGCTTTCAAGATTGATGAAACTGGAACAAAGCTGCTTTATCCAGAAAATTGTTTAATATTTTAATCAATTTTGTGTTAGCATCTCTGGGGAAATTCCGCCCCAGCCACTTTCCTGGTCTATCGTCTGATTGTCGGCACCCCATCTCAGCCGCAGCTCAAAAATATCACCTTGCCAAAGACGCGCTACGGTTATTCACAATTCATCAACCTGGTATTCCAAGTAGAATGTCGTCGTGTGGCTTCTCTCAATTGCTACACTCTGAAGACACTTTGAACTCGATGTTTACAAAATTATGCACAAAAACTCACCTTTGATCAACATGAAAAGTTCACAAATAAGTAGAAACATTTTCCATCAAGGATAAAGCTCATTTTTCACTCCATAATAAAATAATTATTACAAAAAATATTTCATGTGGAAAAATTTTACTTAATAAGTTAGAAGTTTAATTAATCTGCGGTTTATTTAGGATCTACATGTGGTCTTAACACTGCAACTGGCTAGAGGCAAATTCAACCTTCTCCAGTACTCCATTCGACGTGCGAGAGAAGAGGACTTTGGAAACAAGACTAACATAGAGCAAAGGGTTAGCAATGGTAAACGTGTGCAAATCCCACGGATGCGGTGCAGGCTAAGCTTCTTAACAGGGCGATTGAAGTGGCTTTGTTGGGTAATGTTTTATTCAGGTTTATGATGAGTTTGATTGGAGAGGCAACTTCATTATTGTTAGATAATGAAGGAGATTAAATATCTTGGATAATATTATGGTGGCAACATTTTTCAAGATAATCACAATTTTTCCTCTTCTAAATAGCATGTTGTAAAAGTAACTCTTCAACAAAAGTTGTTTTTATTGAAATCTTACTTATGGTTAGTTAGATTCCTCGTTGGAAATAATCAACCATGAAAAAAGCGTGGCTTGTTTCACATTATTCTGTTGGAGTAAGGATACAAGCAGCTTCTTTCTATGACAAAACATGAGCGAATTCGGCTGCAAAGATATGTAAATTTTATTACGGCCGCCCCGGTTCTCGGTTTCAATCACAAATGAAAAAGAAAACAAGAAGAGCTCTGGTTTGCTTGCCAAAAAAGCAAAATTCAACATTTTCTCGTTTTAGGCGACCTCTGTACTTCTAGAAATTGAAGATATTTTTGTTCTACTAAATTTTTGTAATTAGTTAGAGATCATCTGCATGAATATATTGATCGCAAGAGACAACAAAATAAATGCCGATTATTGTTTCAAAATCTTTACAAGATTTTATGTATTCTACTACTGTATGTATAATTCATTGTTTGATCCCATTTTAAAGTGAGAATAACAATATTGTGAAACTAGACTGGAGTTTTGCATTCCACCCCCGCCGCCGAGCGCATTAACACTTTGTATAATTCAAACGAAAAAATTGCCGCTCAGGGAAAACGTTAGATAAATATCTTGGTGGAAAATGATGGGAACCTCCGTATGGCAAACGTAATGGTATTGCCTCGCTGCTTACTTACGAACAAGCCCCTTTCCAGCACTCCCTCGCTTTTTCCACCCAAATGAATATCGCGCTGC